GAGTTACCTTGGGGAAATGGCCACAACTTGGGTCTTCAAGGAAGAATTTTATGACACTAAAAGCCATCCTACCTTGGGAGAGATTTATACTTACAAGTACTTGTATGTCGAGAAAGTACTTAAAAATTTGAAGTCCAACATCCGGACTGGTCTTTCTCTGGTCCCTTTACAGGTTTTATACAGGTTTCTTTTATAGATGTTCATTTCTGCAGAATCATATGTGGCCAGGAGGAGCAATTCGTTTGATTACAGCACTACATTCACCAAAGGAGGAGATGATCCAGCTCCTCCTCACAACTCAGACTTGTGCACAGCTTTTCTATAAGTCTGCACCTGGAACTGTTAAGTCAGGGTCAGTTTAAAATAGAATAAAAATATAGAGTGTTTTTTAAGTCCACACTTTAAAGAATGCCTTGGAGACATTCTCTTAGTCTCTGAGGAAGCAAATGCCTCCTCATGGCTTACACACTCTATTTCCAGAGCCTGTGCTCTGAGCAGGAGGTTATTTTATGTGTTGTTTAATGACATTTTGTATGCCAATCCCATTTTAAGAAAAAACATCTTAAAATTTATAAAAGTTATACATAAAGTATAACTCTATTTTGAGAGAAATCCAGTTTCACTGGGACACTAGGGTTAAGTGCCCTGGGAGAATTCCCGGTGGACTGGTACCAAAAGGGTGCCAAAAGTTATTCACTGGTAGGCAGTACTGGAATTCTTGGCACCACAAAAGTTGCTTTAGCACAATGGGCCTCCTAATATTGTTAGAAGGGGACCCAAAAGAAAGAAAAAAAGTCAACAGTGTGTATCACGGATGAGATAGTCCCACATTTGTATCAAATCTGAGCTCCTAAAGCTATTCTGGTCTGCCCTTCTATGTGGTAACACTTTATTTTCTCTGACAAAATTTGCAGTGCTCCTGTTTAGCAGAGTACTTTTCATAACACTTACAGGCAATCACCTCCCAGTGCTTTGGCTTGTATAAGCATGGGGCTATGATAAAAAGGTCACAGCTTACACATGAGAGAAAAGAAAAACATATAAGTGATGGTGCAGTTTTTCTAAAGCAGAGTCCTGGAAAAATTCATGTAAACTGTGTATAACTATAATGTGAAAGGGGACATTTGTTTCTTCAAAAGGAATTACTATGGTGCAAAAATTGTCTTTGCCCAGCTTCTAGTAAATAAGTAACTTTCTGAAAGGTAAAAACCACTCCATCTCTTTTCTTTTTGTACAGAGAGAAATAACTAATCCTTTTAAAAAAAGAGGGGGGAGGGGAAGGGAAACGAAGGGAAGAGGGGGAGGGCAGGGGAGGGGAGGGGAGAGAAAAGAGAAAAAAGAGAAAAGAGTTTTTAAATTCTGCCTTTTGACCTCAGTGCTTTTGGCACAAGTTTCAAATGTCAAACCAAAGAGAATTGCTCATGGAAAAAAATCTGCTGGCAAAGGTAATTCTCCTATTGGGGTCACATTCTAGAGTTCAAAATGTGGGAAAATTGATAGTTTTCCCCATTTTACAAACCAACTATTCACATAAACACTTTTTAATTAGAGAAAACACTATGCATTACTTTGTCTATTGAAATGTATTTACGTGACTGCGCAGTTTCACTTACGCATTTTCACGAGGAGGAATGCCTGCCTTTCACAGACTGTGTGCAAGCAGGTCCTTCCCCACTGTCTGACCTGGGGAAGAGTTTCTGTCTGGACCAGCTCTCCAGAAAGAAATTCCCCTTGGTCTCAAACACAAGACTTGAGAGGTCTGTGCCTCTGGAGGTGCAGAATGTGCTGCTCAGCCCTTCAGACTGTCCGGGTGCTGCAGCGTATTGCCCGTGTTAACAACAGGCTGAAGCTTTCAGCTGGGCCTGCTCTCCTGAGCCCAGGGTCAAAGAGGTTTTCTGCTGGAAAGAGATCATTCCTACAAATATAATAGAGTTGATGACAAAATGTGCCTCACTGGAGAGAGAAGGGCAGTAGAAGGGAATTCTGCTCAGCTTAGGCAAGAAGGTATTCTTTTCCTCTAAGCTATGCTCACCTCACTAACATGGGTCATTTTAAGACTCAGAAAGAGGATATAAAGGTTCCTTTTTTTTCCAATTTAATGGTGAGTCTATCAGGGCATGGAGTGTCCTGGGTGTTAGGTCTCCTGGGTGGAGCCTAAATGTACCCACTGTTACACCATGAGTCATTTTGACACTTGCCAGAACTCAACAAAATAGTCCCCTCTTCTTGCCTGTTTTCTTTGGACAAAATAGCTTCTAGCTACAGTATTTCACCTGACTTTTTCTCCTCTCTACTTCTTTTGGGAGTTGTTAGTAGCAGAACTGTTTCGTTATTTGCTGTTAAGAAAAAAAAAAAAAAAGGAAAAAAAAGGTTTTCCTTCATAGCCTATCAGGAGCCTAAAGTACACAGGCACACAAGTTTTAAAAAGAATGAACAACACAAAGCCTAAATAAGTTTTTCTACCATTTTTAGATAGTTTTTGACATTCGGCAGGTTGGAACAACTTGGTCTTTTCTCATGATTCACAAGGAGGTCCACAATACACTGTAAAATATATAACACTGCGGAACACTAATGCATGCATTACTCATTTTGCGTCAGCTTGTTTGAAATGTTTGCATGAAAATGAACTCAAGTAGGTACTGTTTCATTTCATCACTTACAGTGTCTGCAACCTGACTGCAGTAAAATTTACAGCACTGAGCTTTCATATGAGTAAAATACTACTGCCCTGAGTATCTGCTGTACTTTTAGTATCATTATATGCATGTGTTTCTGTTGGGATACCATACTTTACATAACCCAAATTTAAAGGTAGCAAATGTTTCCTTAAATTGTGTTTTTAATATTGTATATCAAACATAGCAGATAATTCTATCTTGTAGAAGAGGTTGTAGAAAAAGAAACTTGTAGAAGAGCTCCTTTGGATGTAGCTGATACAATTCAAGCCAAGCAAACAAATTAAGATTCATCTGCCTGTGTCTACTCCTCTGTAATTTAGAACTGGATAACTTCCCAAAACAAGAAGATCTACAGCACTCCTAGATACGTAAATTAATAAAAATTTACCAGCAAGGTCTCCCTCAGTTATGAAGCAAAGCAAGGGAGAAGTGGAAGCTTCAGAACACACTAGCTCTGTCACCTTCCCTTTGCTCCTCTTCCTGAAATTCCTCATCACATTAAGTAGAAACTTGCAGCAAAACAAACAAACAAACAAACAAAAAACCCAAACAAACAAACAAAAACACCACACCAAAAAAAAACCACCTTTCGTGTTGTAAAACCCACACTGCTTAGAAGGAGTCATTAGTCACTAACTACCTGCAGCAGCACTCTGCCCTCCCCCTCAAATGTGAAAGGAGACACCAATGAATACTAGTGACAAACTGTGGCAAATAGCTTCTTCTGAAAGCAGGGATGGAGATCTAGCACATGAAAGCTACATCCATGAACAGCTGTGGTGGAAACAGCTGTGTCCCTCCCTATCTGAATTCCATTGGGACCATTTGAAATAGCATGTTAGAAGTAATAAATAGGTTGAAGTGCACAACAATAAGTTAAAGCTGAACTTTTTATTTCCTTTCTTTTTTTCCAGTCCTCACATGTGTGTGATTACAAAAGGTCCCCTCATATTTTTAATTAAAATATTCTGTGCCAGAAAGCAGCTTACAAACTCCTACAGCTCTTGTAATCTGTAGCACAGTCCTTTAGGGCATCATTTACCAAATTTGACCAATATGTTTAACTGTTAAAACAAAACTAGCAAAGGTTTGTACTATACACTGCTTGAATTGTATGTAGTTAAGAGTAAGCAAGTTCTGTTGTTTCCATTGGTGTCTAATATGGTATTGTAACAACCAGACAGAGGCAATCTTTGCTGTTGGGAAACTAATACTACATAGAGAAATGAAAACCTGGGACTTCAAACTTCACTGTAGAGTTTTAAGACACAACAGAACTGAGGACACAAAACTGCTTTCTAAAACATATGATCAAAAACCAGACAGAAAAACACACAGGTTGACTAAAAGACTCTTGGAAAGAGACTATACTTTAAAAAAATAGCCTGAAGAGTTGGTAACCAGCAGCTACCTGAGACTCTCTATCATGCAGTGATCTTTGAGGTTTAATAAGAGATGACATCCGACATGGAAAACACAAATAGAAAGGGAAAAAATACTGTTCCAGTTTTAATCACATGAGAAATTTGATGTATTACTGTATTTCCAAAGCACTAAATAAAACTTCAAGATAGCAATTTACCATAAATAGGTGAAAACGCAATAAAAAATTAAAAATGCAATCATATTAAAAATGAATTAACGTACTCTGCAAAGACACCATCACTTCAGTGTTTGTGTCATAAGTTTCCGTAGGAAATTGTTAACAATAATTGTGAGGTTTTAGATTGGATACACCCTTGAACCTTGATTCTTCAAGTCAAATGCACAGAATTTTGTAAGATGCAATCACATGTATTTTCATTTTGAACAAAAGTTGTGGTTAGAAATAAAAATCAAAATTGATTTTTCACTGGATGATTTTTTAAATGCTATTTCCCAGACGACAGGGAATAGTTCTATTTGATGTTTGTTTTTTATTTGCAAGAATACTGTAACACTTCAGAGTAACTCAGTTCATATGAGAAAAACATGTTCAACCTGAAGTTATTTGAAGAAGTAGACCTTGCTTCACTAAGGACAAGTGCTATTCTACATCCTAAATACCAGTAAAATGTTAAGAGCTGACATCTAGACAGGAAGCATTTCAGTAGAAAATAACATTCTGACACTACAGAAAGTCTGTATTGGTATAACTCACTCACTATGAGGCATTATATATACATACATACATACATACATACATACATACATATATATATATATATACAGCTTATATTATGCAATCTCTATCTTTTATATTTATTTTACATGTGTTTATATTACATTTGGCTAATATATTTAGAACATTATTTATATATTCTTATTTTATGTACTTACTGGAAAGATGAAAACTTATCCAGGAAAAGAAATGATGGGACACTGTGCTCCGGCTGAGAGCCACCTGCATGTGCATTGACACCTAAGTGAAAAAGACTTATCACAGTTCTCTGTGGATCAGCCAGGAGAAGGCCCCTCACCCTTTTATTCCAGCCTTTTGATAATGCCGCCAGAAAGATGCTACCATTAGGACTGGTGAAATAGACAGGCTGTACATACAGGCACAATTCTGTTTGCACAGCACATGACCAGATCAAGTGTAACTACATAAGCCCATACAGAGCAGAATAGTTAATATTTGACTGGTTGACATTGCCTACACATTTTTTTCCAAGATGTGAATTTCCTTAGCTAGATATTCTGCAGTGAATGGTCACTACTACCTCAAGAAAAGAATATTACCTATTGGGTTTTGCTCCTTTCTATCTTTTCTCTCTCTTTTTTTCTGCGCTTTTTTTCTGCACCGTTACTTTTTCCAGCTTTGTTGTATCTTTCTCTACACCCACATATTCATCTTTAAGGTAAACCTACCTATGCACAGAAGACCAAAAGCACTTGTGATAACCATGTTTCAGTTGACTCAACTCATAGTGCAAGATGATGTTAATGCTACAAAGGGGATGGTGACCAGCATGGTAGTGGTAGAAACAGAACCATCCTGATGGCTGCCTCATGGTTCCACAGTATAGGAAAAGCCAGCATCCAAACCCCAGTTGAGAAGACTTATACAGTAACATAAGCAAAAGTCTGCTAGAAGGTAACAAGACATCACTTCAAATTAAGATCTCTTGACTTTCAGGTGAAAAAGAACGAGACAGAGAAAGAAAAATTCTGCTGCCCGTGCTCCCCCAGGCACCATTTCCATGTTCACAACAGACAGGCAAACTATTGTCTCTGCTGCCAGAATAACTTCTTAGATGTATTTATGTGGAACAAGTGACATCCAGTGGCCAATACACTCAATTACCGCTCAACTTCCAAGCCAGGTGCTCCAGCATCCAATCTTTCTCCTTTCCTTGTTCTACTCCCTGTTTACTCCAAGGGCCCAAAGTAAGTCATAAAGTTTTTCTGTATGAGGAGAACTTCCTCAGGACACTCACTTAAAAAAAATCACATGGGAGATGGATACAAGAATTGGGGAGGCAGAGAGGAAGCCCAGATCACACTTAAGTGAGGCTTTTGATCTTTGGGTTTGCAGTGGAATTTGATGGCAAGGACATTTATGTTGCAGTTAATCTTCAAAAAAGCAAAATGCAATTTCCTACCTGTCTGTGATATACATCAGTTCTCAAAGTGCTGCATAGAATACTCTCAAAAAGCACAGTTGAACAGCTGAATTGAACAGTTTCTGAAAAATCCCAGCAAGACTCTGGAACAAAGGAAGACAGGAATGCAGAAGCAGCATTAGGCATTTTTCCTGGATAATATTGTGTATTTTCATACTTATAAACTACATTCAACCTCATTTTTATGAGCTCAAAAATCAACCATTTGCATGGTAACTATCTCAAAATAGACAGTTACATAAAGACCTAGGAAATAATCTCATTCATCTGTTTTTGCTGAACAACACTACTCACAATTATATCACATGGGCAGAATTTATACACCATGGGAGACAGGGATGGGCAGGTCTTCAACTCAGACACTCTGGAACAATATCAAGAAAATGAGATCTCCTATGACAGTCATAAGCATAAGGCCCAGTCACAGCATCAGGGATTTGTTAGACCTTGCTGTTGTTCTTACCAGCAGAAGGCACCAAAAAAGGACACAGCACTGAAAACATCTCAGGTCCCATCAAAAGGCAGTCACTGACCATTTCTGACATGAAAACTACTATACATGGTACTTAGGGACATGGATTAGTGGTGGACTTGACAATGTTAGGTTTATGGTTAGACTCAATGATCCAGTTAAGTAATGAGAGAATGCTACAAGCTATGTAATTTTGCAAGAGACTGAAGTATTTTAGTTAACTTTGATATCTTTGTCTTTGTCTGCAAGACACCAAAGGCCAGAAAACCCTATATAGTATTTAAAAATGTTGCCCTTTTTTTCTGCCTTGAAGTATCCTCTATACCTATTTACCATGCACGCAGATATTATTTGCTGTTGCTTACTTACAGTAATATTGATTTTTTCTGTGTTAATAGAAACATGCATTCCATTTTAAATTCTTATCTAAGAGTTTTGAAGACTTTAGGATTCAAAATAAGATTAACAAACATTGCTGCTAGAGAAAAAGGAAAATAGGCAGTCATTTAAGAATAAATGCCAGAAAAAACCACACTAGATAGATTTAATATTTAATAATTTTAGATCCCACAGCAATAGGAAATTTTACAAGGTACCGGTTTGCCCGACATACCATGTAAAGCAAGTTTTGTAAGAAGAAATAATGCAAGACCTAACAATATAGCTGGGAGAAGGACTAGACAATATTTCAAGCTAACACACACTTCAAAGCTAAGTTACAAGGCCATTTCTGACTAGAAGAATAAAATGAGGTCTGAAAAAATGTGTCTATTCTTCTCCCAACTACAGCAGTTGCCTAACAAAGGATGTCAACTCTCCCTTTCATTTTTAGTCCGTTATGACAACAGACCACCAAACAATAGCAACAACCAACCCACCAAGAAGCAAAGATCTTTTTCAGAAGACAATGTCATAGCTGCTCCATTACACATTCGGCACGAGGTTATTTCTCAGTGCTAATGGGAATAGAAGCTAAGCCAAAGAGCCCTAACTTTGAGATTTTTGGAAAAAGGTTTAAAAATCCCTTCAAAAATATGCAACCAGGCAGCAGCATATGAAAAAGCTTAGATATTTGAGCAAAATGTGTTTGTAGAGATACGTATCAGCTGAAACCTACATTTTGACAACTCATATTTACATACCCGAACACACATACAGACGGAGTTTTACCTCCATTGTTTAGACCTCAACAGCATTTATTTCTACAGGATTTTAATAAACAATGGCAAAAACATTAACCTTAAAAGGTCGTCTTATTTTGTGGAAACTCACGTTCCACATCCTGAACACTTACACCGTCACTGGGGAGACAAAGATCGTACGTCCTCTAGTAAAGCGGTACTCCCATCATAGGACAGTCATGAGGCACACTGGGACTCTCCTTCTCAGACTATCAAACCTTACCTGTTATGAAGGGCCTTTCTTTTCAACCATCCCTTATTTTGGGCCTCACGAACATATCTCCTACACAAGAAATACAATCCAGTAAGGGGACAATGGTTTATCTATGCTTTAATCAGAAAACATTAATTTCATGTTTCAAAGATAAAAATCTCAACATTTACATTTCTTAAATGCCTTCATTTTGACAGCTTCTGAATACTGTAATAAATCACAAATAATTCTTATTACGAGCACAGAAATTTTTGGATACAGCATCAGATGCAGGATAGATAAATTATATTCTTGTGTCTCTTTACTTTGTTGAAACTTTAATACATAAACACTAAAATTTTTTGGGGAAAAAAGATGCTTTAGATACCCAACTTCTATTTGTCTCTGTTCCCTTCCTATTATATTCGTATTCAACACAATTTAATTGTTTGCAAAGCATGATAATTCTTTTCCACATTTCCATTCCTATAAACTATGGCCATCTCCTCCAATAAAAATGCAGACAACTAATTTTCACCCACAAAAAGAACCCATTAAAAGTTATAGTGCAAGACCATCAGAATAATTCCCAGGGCAATTACTATTCTTAAAAGTAAAATCCATGAGGGAAGCAAACTTTGAAGATAAGTAGACAAAAGGTAGTTGATACTAACTCTGCTTACAACAGGAAAAATATTAATGAATGTAAACTCTGGTAGAATGCTTCAGTATTTTCTGAAAAAAGTCTTCAGGTTTGGTAAACCTTATGTAAAACTAATCAAAACCTGAGCTACTTCCCTGTCCCAACTTTGTAATATGTTAGGTAAATCTGGATGAGAGTCAAATCAGTATATTCTGAAGACAGATTAAAAAAGATACTGGTGGAAAACCATGGTTCAAATACTAACTTTTGCACCTCACCAACATGCTTTTTTGAGTTAAAAAAAACCATACAAACAAAAAAAAAAAAGGCATTGCCTGCTGGAACAACCCTAACAAAACAAAACATCCTCTCAAATACATGCCTTCCAAATACTAGAACTTACTCTAAATTAAAGAGACAGGTAGGCTAAAATGTTTTTACAGTTATTTGGAGAAATTACCTTATTTGTGGAAGGTTTTGCTACATGTTTATGAAGATCTAATGGTCGAAATACCACTCTACAAACACAAGAGCAACACGGGAGCAGTCTGTAGACTACATGTGTTCCAGGTTCTGGTTGTCAAAAGATCCAGCTTTCTTCTCTTTTTAAGAGCTGATGATTTTGAGGGCAATTATTTTGAGAAGAATGTTTGCACAGAAACAATGTGTTGCTAAGGCTACTACTTACTTTATTTAAAAAATGGTTGCTGTTTATAAGCCATTCTGAGAGGGAAGGGTATCACACCCCTCCAAACATTAAGATTTAACTGTTCAGCCCAAAGCCACAGAGCTGATGCCTGAATAGAGTGAAAGAGAATTGATTGTTACAAAAGTCAAACTCACCCACTCTTGAAAATTTTCTCATTTCTCATGTCTCATGTCATTCTCAACAAAAGACATAAAATTTCAGATGTCTCCTTATTCAGAGGGACACACTGCAAGTCATTAGGGAGGCCAATCCAGCACATCTGCAGGACAACCAAAGCAAGTCTTTTTACGTCCAGTGTTACATTGCTTATTACACTGAGCTCTTCAAACTGTATTTTGGTCTTCACTGTCACCTCAGCTTCATCCCAACATTGTTTTGCTTAACCTTTTAATAAAAATAATTTTAATAAATCTGAGAAATTGCAACATGTGTCTAATATGAAGATTATGGTAATCCCCAAATAACACAACAGACTAGGGTATGTTTCCACACTAAAGCTGAAGTTTCTCACTCGTATCATCTCCCGTTCAGGCCATATTCATTCTGTTCAGATATCTAATGAACATAAGGGATTTACAACTAACTTAAAGAACAAATGAACCATAGAATGGTTTGGGTTAGAAGGGACCTTAAAGATCACCTAATTCTAACTCCCTGCAATGGGCAGAGACACCTTCCACTGGACCAGGTTGCTCAAAGCCCAATTCAGCGTGGCCTTGAGCACTTTCAGAGAGGGGGGATCCACAACTTCTCTGGGCAACCTGTTCCAGTGTCTCACCACCCTCACAGTAGAGACAAATGAGACAGATTTGTGTTTGAAAATAAACGTTAGAGCAGGAGAGTAACATTTTAGAACCAACCAAAATGGTTGGTCCAGCAGACATGGAAAGCTCCCTCTCTTTTCCTGTAAGATAAATTCCACAAAAAACATGCTAAGGTGACTAGTTCCTAAGGTGGACAACAGAAATTAGATCCCTCAGTAAGAGTTAGCATTTAAATACCAAATGCCATAATAATTTCACACAATACAAAAAAGGAACAAGTAGGTAAAAAGGCAACAGATGCTTCTTTCTACACTGCCCTGCAGAAAAAGAAATGGTTCTGAGGTCTACAACCGAAGTTCAGCAGTTCCACGGAAAAACTTGACATTTTTCGCAGATCAAACAGACCAGGTATAAAGTGTGGTTTATGATATCTCTGAAAACTTAAAAAAATAAGTCAGTGTCCCATCAGGAATACAACATGAAAATTATAGCACATTGCATTTGTTGGTTACACTTTTCCATTTTAAAAATTCAAATATAATTCAATCACTTCAAATTATGTGGTTCACTAGATTAACATTCAGTGGATATGTTTGGGGACAAAATGCTGATGAAAAATAAGGATGGTTGATGTGCCTACAAATTAGAGACAGCTTCCTGTTTTGTGTCCAAACATTAACAAATCCACCATCAAACTCTTGAAAACTGAAGTTTGTTGTACCATGGCCTGTAACAAGGAGATTCTGAGAGTGTAAAATCAGAAAATCCAATGGTTTTTCCTACCACATCTGTAATATTTTAATAGGGGGAATAGGCAACTGCTAGTTATTACTGCATGAGACAGCTTTAACATCTGCTTGAGCTTTTTATGTTCACTAGTTGTTAGTTTCCATTCTGCTAGGGATTTTTTAAATTATAGGTTAGACTGACCATGTAATAGAATAACTTAATTTCATGCTGTGCTAGAGTTCAACCTCAATCTTCTTTCAGAAGACACTTCTTACTGAGTGCAAAGCCCCTTTAGCCCTTCTGTCCTCCAGTTCCTTTGTTGCTTCCTTCCTTTAATGGGGAAATGGCTGGATAATGGCCAGTTTTATGGGTTTTGTCAAGTGAGGGCAGGAAAAGAAGGTCAGGATACACACAGGGCCTTTTCCCAGTCTCACATCTAATTGCAAAACATCACACTTAGTAAATGTCATACTCAGCACATCTAACAGAACTCCATCAGGTATAACATTATTTTTAAAGCCACACTTACATGTGAGGTATGGGTCTGATCTCTGCAGCATGACTATTTTAACTCTCTGACACATGATTTCCTTCCCCCCTTGTCTGACCCACTTTGACCCTATTATCAAAACGAGTAACAGACATATTTTGTACCTCGTTCACATAATATTCTAAAAAGAGCTGCAGTTGCTAAATAAGGTTTGACAGCTATTTTCTATATCCTCGTCAAATTGGAACTGCTTTGCAGAAGTCTACAGAGTTCAAAAAAGTGCCAAGAGGTGTGAATTTAAAAATCAGTAATGTAGAATTCAGAAAGCCATTTCTCTAACAAGTGTGCAAAAATGGTTATTAATATATAATTTATGCACGCTGTGATGAAAATTGGACTCTAGAGTGCCAGGTGTCACAGTGATGTACTGGGCTACATGCAGTCCTCTAGTATACAGGGAAAAATAAAACTCGTGAACTGTCATTAAGGGAAGAACACAAACTACCTATGCATGTGTTCTGTCAAAGGATACAATCCCCCTCATTCTCAGGGAAAATCTGTCTCCAGGCAAAACTGAAATAAAGAAAGCAGAATAACTGCATTTTCTCTAACACTTTTTTCTGTTCACTGTCTCCTCATTAGCTAACAATCCTCACTACCTTTGCAACTGGAGAAAAAGCTCTTTCCTTATAAGTTATGAGGATGATATAAGGGCTATAAACTAGTCCCTTGATTTCTCCAGTAATACCTTCAATTAATGTTTTAGGATTGTTTTTGCTGCTCCTTTCGAGAACTTGGGAGTTTTGAATATTACTAAGCCCATTTATGAAAATGTCTAAGTACATATCTTCCTTTCAGGAAGTACCATGTATCGCATTAGCCTAAAACAGTAATGTAATACACCCTCTGGGCAGCTACAGAGCAGCTGCATTACGCAAGCTACTATCTTTAGTAATTTATTTATTTTTCAATATTGATGGAACAATACTCGTTGCAAGTCCTACAAAACGCATATTTGAACTGCACTGCTCAGGTGCAGAGGGCCCAGATCTCCCACTATCCCAATTACTTCTGGTAAAGTTTACCTGCAGAATTTGAAAGCTTACAAAAAAGTATATGTATGCTAGTGGTGTAAAACACTCTTCTGATTTGGTGGGTTTCTTTGAATTTAGGTGTTAAGTTTACTTACCACAAATAATTGAGCCTTATGATAGAAGGCTCAATGCTCTCATTCTCTCTCATGCACTGTAGATCTGGAAGACTACCCCAGCAACTATTTTGGCACAGCAGAAACAAATTTAGCAAACAAGGCACTCTGAAGAGGATATGAAATCCACTCCTGCATGTTTGAGTGTATGACCTCTAATTTGGTCATATGGACTGAATGCTTGTTTGTGGGTCTAACGCACCTTCTAACTTGGCCTAAAAAGCATCCAAGTTTATGTGCTCCAAGACTGCTCTGCAATAGAACTCAAAACTTAGCAAGTGGATAAAACTCCAGAAGTCAGGTTTTTTATTCAAACTAAAATACAGAAGTAGGTTCAGCCCCCAAATTTTCTATTTGAATGAACCAGAATTAATCACATGCTTATTGCATGAAACCAACATAGCAGGATACATATGACTCATTAGATTGGAATTTCAGAAACCATATCATAGACTAAAGAGTTTGAGAAACAGACTGACAGACTGGTAGATCACATAGTTGAAACCTTATAATTTTGTACTCAGTAAAATTCCCCTACTAACAAAAAATTTCAAAGCAAATTTAACAGTGCAAAAACAAACTTTGTACTTCTGAGGATAGAAAGTAAGAAGCACATTTGCTGGAAATAGCATATTTTACAAATTTAAATTTCTGCTTTTGAGTCACTGGCTCAAGAAAGGTAGGACAACAAAAGTAGTTGGTTTTAGTTCTGTTTTTGGTGCAGCCTCCCCACACACATCCTCCATCTCCCTCCCTTTCATCCATCTCTGATGTTCAGAGCGGTTTAAGACAGGAACACCAAGTGAGTCTTGCAGGAGGAATAGTCTGGATGATTGCACAATTAAGGTATTCAAGAGATGGGGTAGCTGAGATGTTTGCACTGACTTTGGAGCACATCAGCCTGTAAAAGAGTATGAAATGCTGATGAAGACTGAAATAACTGGGCAAAATGGTCTCCCAAGGTTGCAGGTAGTTTCAGCAGAGGAAATTCTAATTAAAATTAAAACGGAAATTCTAATTGCAGTTAAAAAAAAATAATCTGTTCCCAATTGGAAGAATCAAACACTGCAATGACAGTGAGGCTGTGACATCTCCACCAAGATGTTCAAATCAAAGCCTATAGCAATCTGATCAAACTGGAGCTGTTTTCAGATAGTTATCTGTTCAGGAAACACAACAGGAGAGAACAGAGGCAGTGATCAACAGAGAAAAATAACTGACTTTTTATTAGCACTTCAAAAATTACCTGGTGTTCCATGGTAAAGCACATTTTAAAGGTAACACTTGGTACTTCTGATCCAAGGAAACAGCATGGGAAATAGCATGTATAGCAAATACAAAGGAAACTGTTCTCCCTCCCTTGTTATTCGCTATTTTTTAAAGAAAAGCTAAGTCTTTTATTAGCTACCCATAATCAGAGACATGATGCATACTGCAGTTAGATATCTCAACATGACAAAAATGAATGCTTTAGGATTTTAGATCCCTTCAAATCTCCCTTTTTTTGATTTCTTAGTTGTGAGTGAGAGAGAGAGACAGGATTATTTCCTTGTCTTTCTTCTCCCACTTCCCTAGTTTTTCCAGACATGAAGGAAAAGTTGAACACAATGAAATCAAGAGGCCATAGGTGTTACATTCAAATATAGCTGCCACAATGTTTTAAATAAAAATTACAAGTCTTTTCCTGCAGTATACAACATATTAATGCTTGCATGACAATTTTATGTCAAATTATATAAAAGAGATCTGCAAAAAGAGTAGATCTTTTGTATATTGCTACATTTCTTAATGCATTACCTATTCAAAGTCTGTGTTTTAAGTGATCTTCACATAAAAACAGAGGTAGCCAAGAAGAAATACAGTATTTTATATGAGGTCTCTACGCAATGTGTAATGAAAAAAATGTTTGTTCTATCAAGCAAGATGGATTAATTTCAAGACTTACTCTATAACAGTTTGGCTTCCCCGGATATGAATGCTTTCTAGCGCAAGCACAGCTAGTTCTATTTAGCCTTCATCACCATGGACAGTTGCTACATCATTAGGAAAACATTATGGAAATATGACAAATTCAATTTATTAGGTAAATATTTGAGTTTCACTCAAGTATACTTAATATAATAAAAACAAAACAGCAATCTATGTCATAATTTAACTTTGCTGGACTTCTACTGGGAATTTAGCAGTGCTTTTAATTAGTGAGAATAATCAAATACATTGTATTTTAAGTTTATTGTGTTTCTGTGCCGTCCAAACAATAGCTTATTTATCTAGAAAAAAATACAGTAAGCTCCAGCATCTTAAATGGGTTGGGTTGGAAGGGACCTTAAAGATCACCTAGTTCTAAACTTCCTGTCATGGGCAGGGAAACTTCCACTAGATCAGATTGCCCAGCAGCCTGGCCTTGAACACTTCCAGGAATGGGGAGTTGACAACTTCTCTGGGCAATCTTTTCCAGTCCCTCACCAGCCTCACAGTGAAGAATTTCTTCCTAAAACCTAATCTAAACTTACTCTCTTTTAGTGTGCAGCCATTCCCCCCTTGTCCTACCACGACCAGCCCTTGTGAAAAGTCCCTCTTCATTTTTCTTATGGGCCTCTTTTTAGGTACTGGAAAGTGATCTAAGGTTTCCCCAGAGCCTTCTCTTCTCCAGGTTGAACAACCCCAGCCCTCTCAGTCTGTCTTCATAGGAGAGGTGCTCGGGCCCTGTGATCAACTTAGTGTCTCTCCTCTGGACCTGCACCAACAGGTCAGCATCGTTCTTGTTCTGGGCACCCAGCTGCTCAACACAGCACTCCAGGTGGGGTCTCACAATGGCAGAGTAGAAAGAGAGAGTTCAAAAGTGTTTTTCCCAGCACTACAAAAACGTTAATTGAGAAAGCGTAACTAAATTTTGAAGTAGTAAATACAATTAAAAGTCTAAGTGAACAAACTGAAACACTGTGGTCCGAATTCTGTGAACAGATCAGGTATGCAAGATGTTCTGTCTGTGCAGAACTGGACCGTATTTTTTTCTCAGACACTTAAAAAGGCAACAACTGGAAAAGATGGAGAATTGAGCAGCTGCTTAAAATAGTCAAGCAGTACTAGTAAAAGTACATTTCCGTGTCAGACTTGAAAACTACTTGGCAAGTGCCTGAAATCCTGTGTTTCATTTAACGTAAGTGTGCACCATAAAAAAAGTGGAACCGTATTTTAAAGAAAAGTAACTTTCCTACAATGTTCCTGATTCACAGCATCCATACAATCCCCAAAAGAGCATAATGCTTAGAATTTCAAATCTTGTAAGCATCTATATCATAGAATCATAGAATGTCCTGAGTTTGAAGGGATATGCAAGGATTTACTTCTGCTTGCATCTGTTTGAAATTTATTTTTAAGTTTTGATGAAATCAACAGTTGTTTTTTCCATACCAGCCAAAATACCACTTTGACGATACGACTGAATACAGTTCTGGCACAGTATTTTTTAGTGAATTTCCATGACAGAAGTACAGACACTTAGAAGGAGGAAGTCAGTAACTACTTAAAAGATGACTGAGTTATTAGTTCCTTCTTACAACAGCAAAATGTTAACCTTAAAAAGCACATTTTCATTTTTTAGTGCATTGCCTCACTGAAGATTTAGTTTGAAGGGCTAATCTGCCCATGTTTTTTATAAAAGTTTATATCCCCTGACCAAACTACATCTCCTAGGAGTCAATGCAGTCTTCTCTAAAAGCCAGCTGCCTTAAAACAATGAGAGATTCTTCTACCTCGTTTTCCATAACCTCTGTGACAAAGGCGTAGTCGCAAACACAAACAGAATACAAATCAGTATTTAGCTTTGATACGATTCCCTGACTTTCGCTTGCAGGGCATCACAAGTCTTCTTGGCATCTCCCAGCAACATGGCAGTATTGGGTTTGTAGAAGATCGGATTGTCTACTGCTGCATAACCAACTCCCAGAGATCTCTTCATTACAATGACCTGCACATAAAGAGCTCACATTTGAAACAGCAAAAAACAACCACCATCCTCCCTCAAACAAAGACCACATAAAATCAATTTCCACAAACAAAGAAAGAGGAATAGGCATGCCTGGCCAAAACCAGATGCTCACTGCTATAAGCTGTATTTCTGATTTTAATATAGCAGACAAACTGCTATCCAAAAACATGTTAGCCATGGCACCTTCAGCACAGAAACTGTAAAGCTCTACCAACTTTAACTACATTCATGTTTATTTCTCAAAATGCAACACACAACTACACACACTCTTGATAAATATATGCGTCTATGGCTGACTTACAGAAGAACTGAGGCTACAGCTGGGTTCAGAACAAGATATTAAAGATTTCACATCAAAGAAACACAAGTCTATGTACTTTGGATCAGATGACATTGCTTTCAAAGAACAAAACTGTTAAGGCAACTAAACTTGTCAGTTCAACGTGGACAGACTAAACTCTCTACTCAACTCAGCCACTCACAGTTTTGGTTTTTTGTTTGGATTGTCTGGGTTATTTTTTTGGAGGGGTTGTTTTTTAATTATTATTTGTTATTTAAGCATATTATTCATTCTTGGATTTCCACCTCAATATTAAAGTTGTCCATCAAATTTCCAATAAACCTAAAAAAGCAGATATTTGTATAGAAATGCTTCAGGGCTGCAGGTGAGCAGGACATTATTTATTCTAATGACATACTCTAGTAGAAGCACTTTCATTAGTCTTTTCTATTGCAGTTGTCATTAGTCTTGCTAAAGCACTTGATGATGATTATAAAATCATGAGCAGCGCATCGCACGTGCAAAGCACAGACTGTTTTGCTGGACAACTCAGAGAAAAGCTTTTTATGGAAACCAGAACAGTGGGAGAATCTTTTCAGCTTATCCACCATGTTTTTAAAACTATGCTACCTAATGTAGGGCCTAACACAACTCTCTTAATCTCACCTGCTTGGACTTCCAGACCTCAAGAACCGGCATTCCAGCTATGATAGAGTTCGGATCTTCCTGAGCTGCTGAATTAACTGTATCATTTGCACCAATTACAAGGACCAAGTCAGTTTCTGCAGCAAGACAAAGAAAATAATACTGATGAAAAATTATCTGAAATCTGAGCACAGAGGCTGATGCACATTTTTGCATCAGTTCTGATCTTTACAGGCAGAAGAACCCATAATGGTTAAGTATTCTACAAAAATTTATGAGGAATTATTCATACAAGCATTTTATAAACTTATCAGGTAAATTATATGTGAGAGTTCAAGTGTGCTCCAGCTACCTCCAGCAAACTGGAAGCATCCACAATCCAATTCCAAGGGGCTCCTTAGACCACCGGGCCACACAAAAACTTAAATCTGTTAATATTTAAATGTGTTTGTATACACACATCATATTGTCACTTTCAAATTTTTGGTGCCTGGTTTTTCCTTTGAATATTCCTCTGAAAAACCTTTTACCAGCAACATTCTGATTTTTAAAAAAAAGATGTAAAAAACCAAGAGGTTGCCAGTACAATGCTAAAGAGGTTCGCAAGATATGAGAAGGTCAAGTCACCCATAACACCTGACCTAAAGAAGCAGCAACAGTTTTCCTCTACAGATATATGAGCAGTAACAGAGATAATAAAGAACCCAGCATTTGTCATTTACTTCACATCTACAAGCAACTAAAAAACAAAATGCACCCTCCTCACAAAAAAAACAGATAGACCTCTTGTCCTCTACAGTGCTATTGCAAGAGGCACAAAGTGAAACTGAATGGCCTGACTGAGATCTTCTATTTTTAAAAATCCTTGTGCAATGCAAAACCAAAATCAAATACATCCTCCAATCTAATGGAAACTTATGTCTAACCTGGGAAGTCTTCATTGATCTCATCCATTTCCAGTACAATATCATAGGGAACACCAGCCTCTGCTAGTAGTACATTCAGCTGACCTGGCATACGGCCAGCCACAGGGTGAATACCAAACCTAAAAGGGAAGAAAGTCCAACTCTGTTAATAAACACAGACCACTCTGTTTTATACAGTAAAACTGTCACCTGTGACCTACAAGGCTGAGAAGTTCTTATATATGAGCACACATGTGAATTAATAAAATAAAATAAAATGGTTAAACCTTAACAGTTCCATTTTCAAGCAGTACCATATTTAAAAACTCTGACAGATATTTTTGGACTTTTACAAATAAGCCTTTTAGCTGCAAAACTGCCACGCACATTAATATGGTTTGTAGATCCCTTACATCACTGCAGACTAAATAAAATCACCATAGTGTAACACTCTTCTCAAAAAAAGGCAAAAGGCCATGCTGCCTTTCTGAAGCAAATCCTCTCCTAGAAATGCCCTTGGCAAATGACTTTATTGACTCAGGTGTCTCTAGAGTATGTATTTTGTATTAAGTTATTTATTATAAGTTATTATTAAGTTATAATTATTAACTAAGTGTTATTAAGTCTAGCACACCAATCCAACACAAAAATCAGCAAGCACAAGACAATGGTTTGCTGAATTAGGTTAACATGCCACTTTCTTCTCATGATTGACCTTAGGAGAAAAAGAAAACAGAAAAAAAAAAGGAGGGGGAGTGAGAAGGTGGAGAGCTAAGAAACTACAACTTTTAGTACAACCACTTAAAAAATGTTTCCAGAACAGCTCAAAAACAACTTAGATAAAGACGTTGCTTATAAGTTAATAAAACTTCAGACAGACAACATGGTGGCAGCCCGGCATGCTCAGGCATGCATACCGTTCTTGTAAGGGTAAAAACCTGGAAAAAGACAGAATGAAGATGCTAAACCGATTTAGCTGCAACTATCAAAGCCGTATTTGGTTAGAAGTAAATCTATTTAGTGTTGGCAGATTGTACTCTTCTGGTCATCTACTGGCCCTTATAAGCAAGGCAAATCCATGCCTACTGTCCTGTGCACTTTCTGTCTTTCTAGCTCTGGAGATATCACCAGAGGTATGCTGACTTCAAACACACCAGAAATGCCTCAGACAAATGTTGTAGGGGGCTGAAGATAAATGTTCACTGAAGAAGCCTACATGTCCTTTGGAAGAGAAGGAAAATAGTCAAGAGTAAATTGGATTACTGAATTCTTGGATTTTAGAATAGAAATTTCTGAGCAGAAATCCAAGTAAGTCAGGAATGAAATAAAAGGACTTCAGACTTCTTCAGAAAAAAGAGAAAGACTGATAAATCAACTTGCCATGACAGATAGATTGTCATACATTTCTATTTTCAACTCTACTGTGATGGAAATGGATAACATCACTGATGGACCACAAGTCACAGTCCAATCAACACAGATCATTTGTGAATTTAACACTGTACAAATACATCCTTAAAAGGGCAACTGAGAGCTCCATTATTAAGATGACATTAAGACAATACAAGAATGAGACAACTGGAACTCCAGCAATAAAATTAAGGACACATGATTAATACACATAGTACTAGATATACTCAACTTTAAGCTCTATACCAAACAGCAGGATAAAAGCTGGCTTTAAAAGGAATGCTTTTAAAGAAAGAAAGCCAATAGATTGTATTCAGCTAGTAAACATTTGGGAACCTGTTGCAAAGGGTAATACCTAGAATCAGAAAAAGGAGAGCAAGTAGGACAAAATACTAACAGCTTACGTTTCACATCACTGACTCAGTAATACAAGCCATGTGTAGTACTGCAGATAGACCTTAAGTACACCAAATTCAATCACTTACAATACAGTAGGAGAACTCTTATTCTGAAGTACCCTTGAGAAAACTCATCACTCCTCTGGCAGTGAAAATAGATTTTCCAACAAAATTCTCTTTTGTGTCTAATAAAATTATTTGAGTGCCTTTGTGACCAAAGCTGCTTTGGCAATACACAAAACAAAATACTTGTGAGGTTTCTATTAAATACTATATACACATACAATCTTATTTCAAGGGTTGGAAAGCTAAAAATTTAAGCTGCCAAGAGAATAAATTTCACCTTTGACTTCACCATTCCTGGCAAGAGGCAAGGAAAGAAGAAAAGAAAGGGACAAATTATCTTCATTCAGGAAGAGTTATGGCACGAAACATCAGTAGTTAAAGACTTCTGACAGACTCTGCTTGAAACCACATACTGCGTATTCAGAAAGTCTGAGAAAGTTGTTCATACAAAAGCTTTTTTGGACAAATATTGAAGTGACTCCCAGAAGTCTGCTTCTAAGAGCCTGTTAACCAAATATGACAGTAGCCTGCCAGTACTACTTGTTATTGGATACGCAAGAATGTCAGAAAGAATAATGAAAAAATACATGCTTCTCTGCGGCTTTCATTATGTCAAAAGGTAACATCTACACATTTCTGGAGTGAAATCAGCCTGCCCAATACAAAGCAGAATTCAGGTAACCATGGAAAACAGACACCTAAAATCCTTGACAGATCACAACGTGTCTAATAAAAGCTGCTCCTGATTCACAACAGCATCAGTTCTTCAAAGCTGTGTGCATTACAGCGGGAACATTTTGTTACATATGCTCTCCCAGATGTTCAAAATATGAACCTCATTCATATTCAAAAATTCAACATGGAAATTATTTTAAAAGAGAGGCATGTTTTATGGTAAAAATGCTTTGAAGTGAAAAATTGCCAAGTTTCTTTGATATTCTTTTAGTATCAGTTATGTAGGAACTCCTGTAAGTTGGCTGGTTTCTTTATAAATCAAGCAGAAATCTTAACCCACAACACATATTCACAATCATGATGTGTTTAACTTGAAATATTATTCTGGAACTTCAATGAAGCACAGAATTCACCAGGAATTTTTTCTTTTCACCCTGACAATATAATGTGGGGTTTGTTTATCATCACCACCAATTGTGATACTGAAGTAAGTGCACATCTTCTTGCTACTCTGACTTAATAGGTGAACAGCATGAGGCAAGGATACTCAGCTTTTTTAATCAGCCTCTACTGGACACTTCTTAATTTTTTAAGGACAACACAGCACGATGAAAAATGAGTTAGTATTTTGAGCTTTTCTTGTAATACAAAAAATGCAACATTTTCTTTCAAATTTAGACCTAACATCTAAAACTCCTGACATACACATTGCATCTAGAACAGCACTTTTAGCACAGAAAGCACTTAAACTGGAGCAGGGGGTGGGTAGAAGCGACTGAAGGTGGGGGAAGGTGTATGAAGTTAGTAATAGTAGCAACAATATAGTTGTCTTAAAAAAGACAACTATACCATAAAAAATTACTGAAAAATCTCAGAACAGAAATTACTTTTTATACAGCTCATAAAGTCAGTATCCATCTTTATTACAACTGGCTAGATAACATTCCTGTAATCAATCCTGAAAGACCTCACACAAGACCTCACAAGAGCAGCACCTAACCCAATACAGAAGGGTTTCAAGATCGCTTCATCCACGTAAAGATAGGATTTCTGTCATTATGACAAAGCTGGACAGAGCAATGTAACATCTGGCTGGTGTCTAATTTAGCTTACTCAACACTTCAGATGCTGTATTTGCCCAAGGATTCTCTGCCTCACCTACTGTTCCTAATGTCTCATTCACTTTATTTAGACACCTCTGTTTCCAGTACAAACAATAATCTGTTATTCTAGGTAACAAGAGGGGGAAAAACCCCAAAAAGCTAGATGAACAGAGAAGTGCATCATTCAGATATTCCACAGGTTGAATCCTGCCATAATAATAATTGCAGTGTAGCATGACTGCCAAGTATCACAGTGTAATGTTCATCACACCTTACAGATAACTCTGTGGATCACTAGCATCAACACACAGAGCTAGCCTAGCTAGCCTAGACCTGGTTTCATGCCTGAGGCAACACGTCTCAAAATCAATCAGACCAGTTAAATTTAAACTGAGTTAGATTAGCTAAATTAAGCACACTTAAACAGGGCTCTGATACTGGCTCCCTATTTCCAATCACTATGGTTTATCACAGCAGGGGCAAGATCCAAATGGACCTTAGTTCTGTGCAGTAACCCTCCCAAGAACCCAACTACAGGGAAAAAAATAGAGCCTGCTTCCACAAAATATCACACACGGACCTAGTGAGGTCACCCAGAGCTGAATTGACCCCTGTGGAAGCAATGGCACACCTACAGGAGCACACAGCTACAGCTGCATCCTTGCAGAAGCGGATCAGGCGCAGCAAGGTTTTCTAATTCTAACTACACCAATAAGGCACTGGAGCTAACAGATCTGTTGGACTCCATCTGGCCCTTCTTTTTCAGCATTAATAATTCAGAACCCACCCAGCTAACTTGCTCATAGCAAGCTAACCAAGAACTGAAACACATGTAGACACTTTGTGTCTCTTTAGAGCCACAAAGAATCATAACTATAAACTGATAAAATTAAACAGTTGTAGTTAACCAGTTTTATTTATTAATTTGTAGATAAATGTGTAACTGACACCCATTCACATATTCTATTATTTCCAAGAAATTAGAACAATGGAGGGGGGGAAAAACAGAGCTCTGAACACATTTGATTAGAGCTCAGCCTCTGAGATATCAACAGGGAAAAAAAAAGATCAAAAAATGCAGGTACAACACTGAATCAGCACTACCATGTTTTCAAAAACATAAAAAACTCGTTTCCATATGCTTAAAAGTAATTAGATTCTCCAGCATCAGAAAATGGAAATTCAAGTCCTTCAAGATATCCACCTACAAAAAGTAGGTTAAAAGAAAACCAAACGAAAACACTAATTTATTAGCAACTATTTTGAAAGGCTGTTAAAGAGGTAATGTGCATCTCTCTCCACTATGAATTACCAGAAAATCAACTTATTTACTATGAAATTATTTTGAAAGTCTATAAAAACCACAATTTTAAGAGTGCTTTCATCTTAAAATGCGTTTTTCTCATCAAGAACTTCTAATTGTGCAGAAAAACAAAACACATTGATAGAAAATATCTTAAGAATGTCATACTGTGGCAAAAGGTAGGACAGATAACTTGATGTGGACATCAATAACCCACACACATATGAGAATGTATAGAGTTTTAGAGTGTAATTATGTATCTAGATGTAAAATTACTATAGAATATAATTCTATTGTATAGAAAAAAATCAGAATTCCACAGCTAGGTTCCTACAAACATCACAACATGTGGCTGACAAACTTTGGTAAAGTGAGAGCTTTCAGCAATTTATTTAGTTCTGACACTGCAAAAATACAACAGCAGTTGTAGAACAGCTATTTCCTCTCCAAGGCAAATAGATTCTGGGGGCTACAGGATTTAGCCTATAAGAAGTTTTGTTGTTTTATCCCTCCATAACAGGGTAAAGCTATACTCCAGCCTCAGTAATATCTAGCTTTCTGTGTGACTAGACTAATGCATTAAAGATGTGATCTGCAGCAAGACCATCTCAAAGTGAGCAATGATGTTAGCTATGCAACTGAGTAACTAAAACAGTCTAAAGTTTCCAAAAACTCTCCTGTATTTCTAAATTTAAACCCTAGTCAAAGGTTATGTATCATGTTATATAATCTGTGTTCACCGAGAATGTTATGGCTATAGGCAGAGCAAATGAAAACATCAGCTCCTCTGGATCACTGGTGAGCCATGAAGCAAAAAAACCAGACCATATGACAGTCGCAGTTTTTCTTGGCACACGATGGGCATTACAGACTGATGCAATCCTATGTCCATGCTGGCACCTCTCCACAGCATATGTGTGAGGGTGTCACTACATCTGGACGGTGAGTGGTTTAGGGTCCCGAGGCACTCCAGGCCTACTGAAACCAGAGGACAACAGCTGCACTCAATGAACACCGTGGGAGCTCAGTAAAGTGATGAAAGGCTTGAATTACCACAAACTGTAAATACAGATTTATTTCATTAAAATACTAGGTAACCACTGCAGTGATCCCCTCCTGAAATTGACTCATTTCAAGTATAAGCCATTTATTTCAAGGACTCATTCACCTTTCTCCCCTGCAAAGCCAACATAAAAGGAAAAAACAATATTGTTTTTTTTCATCAAGGTTGGTGAAAAAAAAAGCTCTCCCCCAGAGAAGCACTGAAATAAAGACAAAAGTATACAATACAGTCATCACATTAGCCACGAAAGGGTTTTCTTGTTGCACAACAAGGAGTCTTCAAATTTTTTAAGGCAATCTGGACACACACAGAGCTTTCACTAACATGGAGAAAAACAAGGTGTGAAGAGAACTGCTCCAAGAAGAAAATACACCACCACACCCCCTCACTTCTCATGTATCCATGAACAAACACATCTATAAAGCAATTTTATATGCAGAATTGCAACATGCTGGCTAAACACTAACAAGTAATTGCTGCAAAACCCTTTAATTCTGCTCCTATCCATCATAATAGATGCCATAACACACTGCAAAAGCTTACATGCAACTTTTCAATAAGGTTCAAAAAGTAGTAGAATAAGGAAAACAAAAGCAAAAAACACTAGTAGAGTACTGATTCCAAATGGAAGTCACCATCTAATTGAAATAAACACATGGAAATCAGAGAATAAGTCTGACTAACCAGCATCTGCCCAAATATCTTGTTTGAAATGAAAACTGAGCCTTGACTGATTTTAAAATATTAAGTTATTATAATAAAAAACCAAGCAAAATTTCAAACAATCAGCAGGGGAGGCATTTTGTTTGCTTTCCAGTACTTTCAGTATCTATAAGGTCTACCAGAAAAATGAAGGAGGAAAGGACTTGAGGCTAATACTGGCAATCTAAGAATTACCTCTGCTTTTAGAGCACTACTCCAGCAGAATAAATTCATGGGACTGATGTCATGCACTCCAATAATCCTTCTATCCAACATTCAAAACTCTACCAGCCTTGCTTGCAGTAGCAAAATTTTATGGGAATCCCATAAGTGTAGATCTAAGTTGCTCAATGGCTAGGAGTACCTGCCACAGGAGGAGAGGCTGAAAACTGGGACAAGAGAAGACTCAGGGGAATCTTATCACTGTATAAATATTGATGAAGGGCAGAGCCAGTTTCTTCTCAGTGGTATCCGGTGAATGGACAAAAGGCAACAGTTGCAAATTGAAATATGGGAAAAATTTATTTTACTATAAGGATGACTGAACATTTTAAGAGATTGACAAGTCTCCATCTCTGGAGACTAGATGTCCAAAACCCAGTTGGACAAGCCTCTAAGCAACCTGCTCCAGTTGACCCTGGTTTGAGCAAGGAGGCTAGCTGAACCAGAAAATCCCCAGAGATCTCTAACTTAAACTATTCTGTGCCTCTGTCAATGCTAAAAGAAATATTAAATCAAAACTAAGACTTACTTGTAGGGGATTTTAATGGAATGAAAAGAAAAACCAAACTGAAACAAAACACTGTAATACTTGTCATCAAGGAAAGTACTTACCTGACATTTTTCCCTTGTTCTCTCAACATCTTCACCAGATCAGCTATTGGGTACTGAGCTTTTGCTGCACACAAACCATAACCTGAAAGAATTTCGAAATCTTAAGCTATTTTTCTGTTTCAGTGTAGAAAGACTAGTTGCAGACAATGAGTCTCTTCCACACAAACAGAAGCTGTTAAAACTAAAAATAAATTTTTAAAAATACACACACACATCAGATTCTCATACATTCACAGCATGGCCACTGTAATTCATCTCTTTTTTGATCTCCTGACCACTCACAGTGAAGTGATTTGGCCAGTCCAACTACAGCTTCACAAAAATACATGTTCCTTTCTCTTTCAGAAAAGGTTGTTTCAGACAGGTATTCTGAAAAATTGGTAGAGTGGCACTATTACGTTACTTCACAACCACTGTCCTCAAGATAATTTTGAATTTGCATAACTCAAATCTAGTACTGGATATTGGTTTGTCTTTTAAGTCTGTCTGAACTAATTCATCAGAAGAACTATATCCAGAGAAATACAAAGAGTATAAATTATTATTGGTGTCCTCAAGGTTTGACCACAGGAGAAAAGAGGTAAACTCCTTGAGGATGACTGCAAGCTTTACTGAAAACAGAGGTAACTTCCCAAATTAAAACACTACCTCACTCATGTTTTTAGTTAAACTGAAGCAAAATAAAAGATGACTTTGTATTTTAGCTTTCTTCACATTCCAATGCTAAAATAAATTTAACATAGCAGTCATGCCATTCAGTTGAAGAAAAAGAAATCTTGAGCTATTCCCTACCTGAGCTCTCCATTCAGGGAGTGTGCTACTGAACAGTATGAGCCTACAGTCAACATAATCGTTTCAGACAATTCAGGGTTTTGATTCCCAGGTCTTTTTTTTTAACTTTAATTATAGTATTTACATTAACTAAGTTTTAAATGAGTTTATTGCTTTTTTTTTTTCATATAACCATGCAGAATTAAGCAAGTACATGAAAAACTGTAAACAAAATCTTTTCAGCAACTTAACAGACAGATATACTGGAACCACTGGTACTGTGGTAGTGCTTGGAAACTCACAATTAATTTCGTGTACAGCTGTTGTGGTGCAAGCTTAATTTACAAGACTCTTTGTTCTGAAGAATTTAAAATGCAAATAAAAAGGACAGAGTTTGAAGAAATACACATAAAGGAAAATGAAGTGGTATACATCTCTGCATAGAAAAATGATAACTGAACTGGGAACGAAAACAAATCGCATGGACTCAGTCAACATTTGACACGTTGCTGCCATGCTGGCACTGTAGGCTACAGTTTTTTTGTTTGTTTTGGGGTTTTGTTTGGTTGGGGCCTTTTTCTTCATAATACATCTGAACATCTTGTGAGTCAAGAATGTCTTACCTGGAGTAATAATAATACTATTGGCTTCTTTTATCATTTCAATTGCATTGTCCACATTGATTTCTGTATGGGTTCCAGTAATTTCCATGGGCTTCCCTCCAGCTGTTGATGCAGTGCCATAGCCCCCAAGAATCACATTTGCAAGAGAACGGTTCATAGCCTGAAAGACAAGAGGGTTTTGATCAGATAAAGATAAAATGCAAAAGTTAACAGTGAGAGTCCACAAAGAAAACTTCTGAAAAAAGTTTTCTGAAAATATTAAAGACTTCTTGACAATAGTCTTTATCTGCTGGTTTTGCCTCCTTATATCTCAAAACTTCTTAAAACATGCTCCTTATAACATTTTAACACGGCAATAACCAAACATCAGCTTCTAACACATTACATTACACATGTAACTAGAAAGCACCAGCATTTCCCCAAGGCAGAGAACAAAAAGCAAATATTAGTCTTTTTTTGTGTTGAAAACAGAGGGCTATAAAAGAAAGCATGCTTGACAGAATTTTAAAAAATGTTTTACATGCATATATATACACACAGATGTAATTTTTGCAAGATATTTTCTACAGCTATTGACCTATTCAACATGTGAGCACAGAACTGGTAATGACAGCATGGAAACCACAAAGCTGCTACAGGTACTACAGAAGCAAAACTCTTACAGTGACAAGACAGAAAAGAACACAAAGCAGCTAAGAAGCCACACAAAACTAGTCAATTTTTCATGAACTGAAGGGGGCCATTACTTACTGGCTGAGCACCAAAGGGAAACAAAAGATTTTAACTAGGAGCTTTAAAAGAAGAACACATCCTGAAAATCTGTCTCCATTAGACACATAGCCAGAAAAGCCACTGGCTAAACGCTTTCACTGGCATGTCTCCTTGTGAGTGTGGTCCCAAAGCAATATCTGTCAATAACTGGAAATAGGTAGAACTTGTAATTGCAGTAAACAAAACTTTAGAAGCAGGAAAGGAACAGGATAAATTGCTTCTTTAACTGCATATGTGTCATACATCTTCTCTACTAGCTGAGAAACCACAACAAAATTTAGGAATGGATCTGGAGAGATACAGATGTGTGGGAGAAACCACCCACACAAAATACGCTTCCAGCTGTCCATTCTCCACTGACATTTCATATCATGCAATTCCACAGGGTTTTTGCCATGGCCTGAGAAGATATGCCATTCTTTGAAATTCATGATCTAGCAAATAAGTACAATGAAGACAACAGAACTTTTGTTTGTCCTGATAAGTCATCACTGTTTCAGATACTGTAAGGGAAGCACAAAATTGCAGTGAAATCAGCTTCTCTCTACTGTCTGCAGTACACAGTAGCTCCTGTCCTCTAAGAACACACTGTCTTTAACCCATATCACAATACTGAAATACCAAACAAACCAGACTATGTAGTATATCATAGCAGTTAAGTGTCAGGTAAGATAGCCTAGACAGAAGAATACCCTCTTCAGATGTTCCACAAACAAGAAGCAAAGCACTTTATACACATATCTAAATCAAAGGACAATAGTCAGACCAGGCCAAAGGAGAAAAAAAAAGGTAAGTATTATTAGAAATCTGAGAAGCCACTAAAAGCAGGCATGAGATTGAAGCACCTCTACCACAAAGAGCCAAGACAACCTCCCTTCCAAGAGAGAAGTCTGGGAAAAAAAAAGTGGATGGTGTAGAAGAGCCAAAGCCTTATCAAGCAACAATTAACCAGCTAAAACCTGCTCAGCACCGGGACAGTGTGAAAAATCTTCTATAGCCTCTTTCATCTTCTTTACCACCACAGACCACAAATATAGAGGTATAAAGTTCAGGCTTCACCACTCAATGATAATCCACCAACCAGCAAAAAGTCTTCTGTGTTGTGCATACAAGGGGACAATGGCCAGGAGCTTATAGTCCAGGGAAGACCAAACACCTGATCCCGAAGAACTCCAAGTGCTTCCACTGTGCCCACAGAAACTACGCAGGTAGCACAGGTGATGGGCCAGCCCACAATTTATAAGACTAACACTGTTTGTCCCTTCTCTTACTCTGTTTCATTCTCCCAGTTAATGGTTACTCTTCAACCTCAAGCTTCTTCCCCATCCCTGAGCATAGTGATTCTAACGCTACAGTTGCAATCATCAAGTATTTCCTATGGGGAAAAACGAGGGAGAAGGATATCCTAATACAACCAACTGTTCTGAACAAGATGCGTTGGTATTTTAAGAGTCACAACTCACAGGATGAGTGAACAGTATAGGCCTTTGCTATCTAAAGTGAAATTCTTTGTCCTTAACTCAGCCTACTAATAGGTACAGGAGCCCCTGCTGGTCTAGCGGTAAGGGCGTGGCGCTGTCACCTCCGAGGCCCGGGTTCGATTCCCGGTCAGGGACACTCCCTGGGCAGATGGAGCTCGTTAACCCTGTAAAGGCAACCCACCTACGTCCTGAGGACCTCGCTGCCACCGTCCAAGCTCGCTTGGCCCTGGCAGATGAACCTTAGGATTAAAGGGTGGGCTCAGTTCCACGCACACTGTGTCTCACCTAAAAAATCCAATGCGCAGGCTGGAAGGTGTAAAGACCTTCCCCGGATCTTCGCTCGTGAAGACTGGCCATTATTATTAATAGGTACAAAAGAAGGATAGGTGGAAAATCAAGCAGATATGAGTGTAAAAACTCAGTGGTTATCGGAATACATACTGGCCAATTTTATCAGCTGAAGTTTTAAGAGATTAGCTGGACAGACTTTGTATGACTAAACTACAGTTTCATCGCAAGAAGTAACCGACATTGTTGTAAAAATAAGGTTTCAGCCATTAAGATGTTTCCACAAATAACTTCTCACTTGTACTAGATAAGTTTCAATAAATATACTGGTTTTGATGGAAGTCATATTAAAGGGTGTGGGAGTGGGAAAAAAGAACAAAAAAGGGAGGGAAAAACTGCTGCTTCATTAGCACAGCTTGCAACACCTAAAGCAGAGTTTGCTGGAACCCTTGAGCATTTTTTTCTCTTGAAATGCAGCTTCAAGACAATGATACTGAAACCCCTGATAGTAACAATGCTTTTAAAAGAAATAATTTCCATTAAAGGAAGTAAAGCAGAAATGAAAAATGCTGGGCCACCAAGTGCAGAAATTATACAAAATAATTTTCATTTTACTGGTTGATGAACTTTAATTGTCTAAGCTTATATAAAGCAGCTTAAGATTTTTAGAATACTACCTCAAAAGCTAAACTTCCTGAAATATTCCTGAGAAATATTTAGAGGAAAGATACTCTGTCACTGCATAACTATTTTGCTAACTACTCCTCCAGACTTCCTATTTATCTGGATTCCTCCAACCAACTCTGCAAGTATTTCAAAAGTCTCTTGTGAGTGCTAAGAAGGGCTAGCAACAAAATAAATTTTAAAAGTAAGCAGATGGTAAAAGAAAAATGAAGGTATAGATAGACTCTGCCTACTGGTAAATACATATCAAACAATTCATATTTTCACTAAGATTTCGCAGGAATTCGATTTTTAAAGGACATAGTTTTCATACCTGTGTTACCAATAAGCGTCATCTCTCTACTGATATGGACTAAAATCCTGAATGTATACAAAGAAATACAAGCCACAAAATCTCATTTCTTTTTGATAAGCAGACAGAAAACGTTCAAGAAAGAACAAGATTCTTTGACATTTATACCTGGACTTGTTCATTTGAGCTCACCTTCAAGAAGCTGAACAAAAATGCCTTTTCAAACTTCTCTGAAATTGCTCCTCAAGAAAGATGAAAACTAATGATACTAAACATTCCTAACTTGTTAACAACACTATTTATCAGCTGAGATGAAGTAAATGATGATGGCCAGCGCTAACCATAGGGAAACATCAGACAGGAGAACAGCAACAGCGATCATACAAGAACACAGGAGCAGAAGTAAAACAGGATTACACAACAGAGAATCATGAGTTTGGCAGCTGTTGCACTGTAAACAGTTTTTTTAAATCACTACCTTTACATCTTTGAAAACAAGATTCTATACAAATGTTGCAGAGAAAAGGAGGTCATTACTAATAACGCAATATGATTTACACACAGAGTTGAAGTTCAAGTTTGCTGACATAGACACTGGCACAGCAGTGAACTCCTGCAAGCCTGCTGCCACCCCGTGGTACTTCAAAGTAGCTGCTATGAAGAAAGTAGCACACTTTGTGCACTCCAAAAAACAAACTGTAAATTACTGTCTAATCAAACAGCTTTTTAAAGGAACACACTGTACACTACAGGAGATACTAAGTATTTATCTTAAATTTAACAGAACTGCAGAGGTATATGAAGAGAAAAAAACAGTTGAGCACAAGTAATCATACTTGTTTAAGCCCAGATTCAAATCCTCAATGCCCAAGTAAATACAAAGGCTGTCATCAGTTTTGAGTTATGCGTCTCTCTAAACGAAAGAAAGACCACTGAAATCTAGTCCAACAGTTTCAATCAAGAATTTTCTAGTTTGTAAAGCCCTAACAGTTTGAGATGTAGTGGCTTATCTTCCTAGAAAACATGTTGAATAAGGTTTTTCATTAATCAGCAAACAAGCAGAGTTTCTGTTGACTTCTTACCACACACATGATGTAAGAGAGTATGGCCCCAGAGGAGCCAATGAGTGCACCAACAATGGTCAGCAAGTTGTTGTTCAGTAGAAAGCCCTCAGCACACAAAGCCCATCCAGAATAACTGTTCAGGACAGTAATAACTACAGGCATGTCGGCACCTCCAATAGCTGCTGTTAAAGTGACACCCTGGAAAAGAATAGAAAATACTTCTATGACTAAAGAGAAAAATGCGGAGGAGGTAGTCTGCTTGCAGCAATGAAATACAAATATAGAAGCATAGAGCAGTTTGTGTTGGAAGATATCTTAAAGATCACCCCGTTCCAACTCTCTTGCCTTGGGCAGGGATGTCATCCACTAGATTATGTTGCTCAAGGCATCCAACCCAGCCTTGTACACTTCCAGGAATGGGGCATCCACAAACCTTCTAGGCAAGTACCAACTTACTTAATGACCTAATCAAGTGTTTTCAGTGTAGGTACACTTGTTCAAGTTGTGGCCTGAGAGAGTATTTCCTTTTGAGAGAGTATAGAAAGGTGCTCCACTGTCCTCATCCTGTGCTTAATCACATATTTTTACTTGCAAAAATATCCTACCAGCTCCCTGGAATTGTTTATAGTGTTAAAGGATTCATATTGAGCAGTCTTTGCAAGATTCAGTTTACAGAATGGTAATATTCAGGGTAAATTGTGCAACACTGGTGTGCACCACTGTGAGTGAATGGAAAAAGTTACACGTGGGGATAATCTTAATAAGTTATTATGAAAAACTGTGGATTCAGAGTTCTTTCAAGTATTTTAAGCAATTATTTCCCAAAAAGTCTCCTAAAACATAATTTTGTCGTACAGAATGCTTCATAAATCAATTGCTGCAAAAAGTAATTATATACATACACGCCTGTTCCCTTGAACAGTTCTGGTTTACTGCTAGATTTAGGCAAGTCAGTTGCTACTTGCTGCTGCAAGTTACCACGCAGGCAGGCACTACGCCAACTGTGGCTCAGGAGGGTACATTATAATCCTTAAGAGGAAACTTGCAAAGCTGGAGAACAAACTGCTTGTTTAATTTGTTTCACCTACAATTTCTCAACTTACCATGATGGCTGAGAGCGCTGACACAGAACCTAGGCAAGTAATTCCTGTAGTGTAACTGGGATCCATCATGTACGGAATCATTCCGCCAATGCTGGCAGCCAGCAATCCCGCATTTAATGCATGTCGACCAGGCAAGAGCAGAGGGGCAGAATTCAGGATACCTGCAATAAAATGCATATTCAGAGACTGACATGTACATTCGGGAGAGCCTGGTTCTTGTCTTCAGAGAAGGCTGAGCAACTCAGTAAAAGAAAAATTAAAAAGAGAAAAAGGGAGGGGCAGAAGATAAAACAAGTTGGTTGAGGCTGAGACCTTGTCATGACTCAGAATTGCAAAACATTCAACTCACTCCAGATTTTCAAATATTCCTGCTTAGACTCAGTTTATTTCCTTATTTCACTAAAGTGCTCCAGAATAGTAATAAAAATCTCTGCTGTTCTTGAAAAGCCTTTTTATTTTTCCTTCAAAAATGTTCTTTCATTTTGATCCCAAGTCTTGGCATGTTGTATAAGATACATTGTTGTAGGAAGCTTTTAACTGGAACTTCTAGACAGATACAATCTCAGCCTCTCAAAAGTTGTGTGCTTAGAAAAATATGACTACATAGATAACAACAAATACAAAACATTCCTGCTTTCAAATGCTTTAATTTCACCACTACCTTCAGTTACACAGACCTCCCAAGCTTCCCACACTGGCAGAGACTTGAGGAGAAAAGGGGGCTCACTATTTGTGTGAGTTGGTTTAAAAAGACAATCACATATTTATTCTCATACTAGGCTCTTTTTTTTTCCAAACAGCATAGCAAAGAGTAGAAATAATGCAAGTTTCTCAGTAATTACTTGCATCAGAAGTAACAGAGTATCTCGTTTAAATTTAGCTGAATTCAGGGGAAGAAGGAACTGATGGTCTCAGGACTGGGGTCAAAGTGTGTGACCTACGACCTCTTCCACAGTACACAAACAGTAGTTCAATAGTACAGGTAAGCCTAGTATTTCATATAATGATGATATGACTATGCAAGGGGGGGAAAATAAACAGGAAGTGGGCTGAAGCAGACAATGAAGTTCACTGGGGATGGGCACACAAATCACAAGAGGGGGTAGGATGAAGGGAGAAAAAAATATAACTGAGAAGAAGGGAATAACTACTTAGAAACACAAACTACCGAGAAATACTTCAAAAGATTATTAGAGATGACAGCTTTCCATCCATATCATGCTTCCTCCTTCAATGGCTGGTCTCATAAACACTGAAGAAAGCAAACAGATGTTTCCCAAAGGAACTACTGTAAAGCTAACAACAAAACAGGTAATAGGAAGCTCTTAGCTTAAAGTTCTTCATAAAGGTATTACCTGAGTCTCTCAAAAGCTGTATACTTACAAAACCAAAAATAAATGCAATAAGGAACCTTCATGTGCATAAGAATCAGGAATTAGCAACTACTGAACTTACAAAGCGTATTTACTAAAACAGTAAGAGGTATGAAGCATAGAGGTGTCACAGGAGATAAACAGACAGTGAACTGGATGATTTAAAGTGAGGCAGCCTCAACCAATCCTGCAAGTTGCCCACCTGAACAAAGCCTGCAGTGTTAAGAACAAAATCCTATACCTATTAGCAGTGCTCACTGAATCCTGTAACACCAGGGTTTCAATTAACATGTCTGTTCAGTAACACAAAGCTGTGATCATAAAAGTTCAATACAATTAATGTGAGAAAAGGCATCAGGTAGTGTCTGAGCAATACTAAAGCAACACTTATTTCTAGAAAAGATGAATTGAGGGAAGTTTACATGACTACATAACGAATAGTAGTAATATGCCTAATCACTGAGGAGATCCTTTCACAAAATAACTGTACACAAATTAACTATAATTAAAAACAAAAAAGTATGCTCATTAGAATTAAACATATAAACCTTTACCTAATGCAAAATAAAGTCATCCTTTCTAATTACATAGCAGTCTGAAGGCAGAGCTAAATCCCGAGGGGAGGGGGGGACCTTTAACAAATACATAATTCTGAATAGAAGGTCTCACCTTGCAGTTTTCCATATGCAACAAGGGAGCCACTGAAAGTCACCCCACCAATGTACGTGCCAAGATAGGCCACAATCTTAGTGAGGTTTGCAGCTGGATCAGTAGCAAAGTGAGGATACTCGATCATGTATTCTGCTACACAGGTGAGCACAGCAGCCAGACCAACCAAACTGTGGAAAGCAGCCACCAGCTGAGGCAGATCTGTGATCTGGATGCGTTTAGCAATTGTCAGACCTATGGAAAGTTGAAAACAGAAGGGAAGTCTTACAAAACACAACCAATCTGTTCAACTGGAAATTAATGCAGCATGGTTCAATGTGCAGTGAATACACACACACAACACTGTTCCAACTAGAAAACTGCTATGGCATTGAACTGAAGGCTGCACATGTGTACATGGGGGCATCAGGAAAAACAGAAGATTACAGCATATCATGTTCTTAGAAGCATCACTAAATATTGAGAAATTTAATGATTTCTGTGACAAAAGCACAGTGTGAAAAAGGCAATTTGAAGTATTCAGTCAGGAACTGAACACAAGTATGAAGCTGGGCAATCTCATTCACCTCTGGACACCCCGTTCCCCTAATACAGATGATGTGTTCCTGATTTTCCACCAGTCTCCCATTCTTTACCAGAGTCTGAAGCATTAAAAAAAGCCCTGGAAGTTTGTTTTTTCTGTTCCTGTATTTGCAAAATAATAGTGCACAAGCTACAAATGTAAGCTAGTCAATTCACCTGCAAGCTATACAGTATTTTATGTATATACAGCTTGCACAAATGCATGCACAGAACATAGATTGCTAGTTCACAGAATCACATACATACCTATGGTACCACCAAGTGCCATTGCACCTGACATCTGTGCCAACAATTCAGGTGAAGGATTAAGGCTTCCAAGAGTTGCTGCTAAACCTCCTGAAACACCTATCATACCCAAAGCATTTCCAAGACGAGCTGTTCCTTGAGTAGACAGACCAGCCAGGGCACCAACACAGCATAGTCCTGACCCCAGATACATCATCTTTAAAATAAGAATACCATCAATACAAAGCAGTGACAAATTGCATCACTATTAAAAATATTTCTGATTATTACATAACAGGGCTGATTTTTCCAGAATGTGTTTTAAGTCACAGTTCTTAAATGAAGTCAAAACTCCTGACTGTGAAAAACTGTTCTTCATGTTGTGATTTTGGCCAGTTAAAATGTGATATTGATAAAACTTTTCTCACAGTTTACAACCTTTGTTTATCTGCAGCATGAATAGGAGAGTCAAACTTATTTTCCTCATCAGTTCAGAAGCAAGTTTTTCCCTAGTACAAATCCAAAGCTAAAAGGTCCCGTTCATCACAGGAATAGTTTAAAATTTGCTAATGCCATATTTGAACTGATAGTTCAGATAGTTCTGAACTATCTGCAATAGTATAGCTAGCAGAACTAGGGCAGTGATCATTCCCCTGCACTCAGTACCGGTGAGGCCACAGCTCAAATTTAGGAAAACAGCCCAATAAATAAAAGTACCTGTTGCTTTACACAAAAACAAACAGCAACAACTGTTGCAACTTTTTAAAATCTGCAGATTCATCATCTGGAGTATGATTGCCAACTTAAAGATAATAAGCTTCTGACTGGCCTTGTGGAAATATGAAGCTGATGAAAAGATTATGGATTATGTATTTACTCCTCAACAGCATGGGCACGACATTAAAGTGAACAGTGGGCTAAGAACCATAAAGTCACCTTCTCACCTGTTCAATACTGTAGCCACCACTGAGAGCTGCTGCATAGCCTCCTACAAATACACCACCAGGAAGCAGGTACAAGTAGTTGTACTCAGGAGGATCTGTGGGACGTTTGAACATATCCAGCATTCTCTGTGTGACTAAAAATCCACCTGGCCAAAGTAAAGGAACAACCTTAAGAAAAATAAAATCTGAAACTAAGCATATGCCAAAACGTAAGAGAAATATGTAGTAAAACCATATGACCACGCATTTTAGCAACTGACACCAATAAAGCCTCTGCAGAGCTAACCTAGAAAACCACACGGAAACAAAGGTGCGATCAGGGTTCGATCCTGTTGCCTCTTAGCCTGTGGAAGAAATTCAAAAGACGAGGAGGACTTGCTCTGGCTCTATACTCTACACTGACTATAGGATACAACTTGGTTTATAACTGTATCCTTTTCTCTATCTAATCTAGAAAAAGCAGTATTCATAAGACACATTGCTCACTTTCCTATCTTTTTTATTATTGAAGCTGAGACTTCTGAAGCTCGAACAAGAATTTTGTTCTATGCCATTAAGACATATTTCAAGTAGGAAAATGATTACAAGTACAAATCCATTACCATCTTGGGATATACACGAAAATATATAATACAATCATCACCCAAATTTACTGTAAAGGAAACATGCACATTTAAATATTTCCCTAAAAAAAGGTTACTCTACAGAGTATGTCAACCAGATACAATAACTAATATGAAAATTGGAAGGGTGGTGTCTTTACATTGAAGAATGCTCTCAGATCCTATTCCCAGATTTTTATTTCTGGAATCTATACAATTAAAGAGCTAAAAAAATTATAAAATTATACAAGTGCTTGAAGTTACTCTCAGGAGAAAACCTAACATTCTTACCTGCAATATTGACTGAAGATATAAAGGCTGAAAGCACTGCTAAACCTTGAGAAGTGTTTTCAGGAAGATAGTGTCCTCCCATCAATACCAGCCCACCAACTGCAGTTAGACCTATTGAAAAGAAAAGAAGTGTTACTGAACCTTAAAAGGCTCTATACATTTTCAACAGTCAAACAAATATCAACCAACTCAAATTTTGACCCCTACTCTATACATTACTCTTTGAGGAAAGACTATCATGGTTTTTTTCAGCAATACAAACACATTCCAAAAGAAAAGAAAATAGTGTATGAATGTAGTTTTAAAGAACAGTGCCTGAAGCAGAGTTAGTCTATAAGTGCTTTTTCAATAAAAGAAATTTTGCTTTTAATAACCAAAGTAAATCAGATTTGTGACCTGCCACACACAGATATATAAAATCCTACCCATTATGAGTTATGAGTCTTATTGGTAATTCAGGAATTTTTTCTTTTTCCCTGTCTCTCAAAACACATAGTTAGAGGTTAAGAATAAAAGAATGCAAAAAATATGAGAGATAAGTTATTTTCAAGGCAACGTTCTGCAGAGATGGGAGGAATGATGTGTTCTATGAAAGCAGACTGCAGCACTCCAAGTAAAACAAACTTTAACATAAACAGGCCATGAGTAAAAAATTACTTATGAGAATTAAAACTACACAGCAGCACATTTGCCCTTCTTTTGAAACGTCATACTCTCAGAAAGACTATGTTTCAGGTGACCTTGCTATTTAGGAAAGTAAACTTAATTAAGAAGTACAAGGCTCTTTGGCATTCAAAAAAGGCCTATCAGCAGACTTTTGTCTAAAGTTCAAGTAAAAGGAGCTGTGCCTAGATCAAATAGAAAATAAGCAGCTGTGTGACAGCTACTCACCTGAGATAGCATTAGTCACCGACATGAGTGGAGAGTGCAGAGCAGGAGTCACACCCCACACTGTGTGGTACCCCACTATTCCAGCCAGGCCAAATGTTGTCACCATCTGAGTGAAAGCAGCATTCGGTGCCACAATGCCCAGTCCTAACATACCAGCTAAACCTAGGAGAAAAGCACATGAAAACTCTGTAACTTTTCAATGATTCCTTACATTTAAACTGTATACAACAGGAGTCCAATAGTCACATAAAAGCAAAATGGAGTTCTGTGCATGGATTTGTTTCAAGATCAGGTGGATCACCTTCTTGAAACACAAAGTTCTTTCGGTGCTACTGTTTCTTTTACAATAGAAAACAAAGCCATAAACAGATTTCACATCTATTTGTTATGCATGCACACACCACAGCAAAGATACATTTCTATACAAACACTAAATCCCGTCCTCTCCTGTTTATAGAAAAAATGTAGAAGAGTCACAATCATATTGAGATACTACTTGGAACATATCAAAGCATATGTATGAAAAACAGAGATTAAAATTAAGAATACTCAATTCATGAATTACCTCACATTGAAGTTCTGATGCACTGAGAGTACGAAATTACACAGAGACAGTATTCTTTTGTCAAGACAATGGTCCTATTCCTAGTATTTCAGTAAGACTGTGAGCATTTAACTCTCACCCAATACAGTAAAATTTGAAGAAAGCAATGCTATTGAACTGATTCTGCTGCAAAGTATGGGAACAGTCCCTGGTAGGAGTCCTTCAGAACTTGAAGCATTTTACTGATATTTAAATAGAGCCAAACATACATAAATGCACACCACATGAGTCAGCACTTGTTGAAATGTTAATATTTTTGGTTAAATTTCTACAGTTTTGGTTTCCCTCTTAAAAGCAATTATTATACTATACTGATTTTGCACTGGGATACACCAGACAATCAGCTGCACTACCAAATAGTTATTAAATTGAATGTGTTAAATTATGAGTCACTTTAGAAGTATTAGCCAAGTGAGTTCTCCAGCTCTGGAAGTTGCCTACCTGCTGTGTACACAGATGCACTAGTCATAGTCTTTCTGAAAGGCGTAATAGTAGCTGCTTTTTCCGCTTCCAGCTCTGCTACAGTCTTCTGCTTCACAGGTGCTCCTTGAGGAATATTATTTGGTGGAGGTGCTGGGAAAATGATCTTGCCATCCTAACAAGAAATATTTACAGTTATGCCTAACATGGTAGACACTTTGTAGTTAGCGAAGCCTTTTCTTCTTAATAATGCAAAGTTCACGTTAAGTTCTAACATCCTACAGCCATACCACAGGAATTTCTTCCTTTTCTGCATCAGTACAAGTCTGTAAAATATGCTATAGGTCTGAATTGAATCAGAGCCTATCCAGACCAAGCATAATGTCTCATATTTTTTGCTGTTCTCCAGGTATCCAGAGAGGGAACTGTGGAGCTGTCAGTCTCAAGTTGTATACACCACAACAGTGGTCTGGGAGAGCTGAAGTCAGTGCAAGTCTCCTCAAGTATCATAAAGTATTGGCCACATTAGGCACCAAAACTCAACTGAAATTAATACCTCTTACCTAAATTGGTTGATTCCCTGAGTTTGTATTTTATTATTTCCTAATAAAGCTTAAAGTATCCTGTATATTCTAGTTTCACCAATTTTTTCTGAAGTTACTGTTACTATAAAAGAAAAATGTATTTAAAAAAAAATAAAAAATAAAGGAAGAATGTTTTTCTAGTCCTGTAGAAAAGTCTCAAATATGTTTTAAATATTATGCTTTTATCACATGAATACAATAAACTTTATCTTTTTGTTATTTTTCAACAGTAGACAAATTAGGTATTTGTTTAATCTTAATAAGAAGACAAGGTAAAGAGGTTTCCCACAACAAAAAGGGACAGAGGAATGCTCAGCTGAATAAACACACAATTATACACACTCACACTCTAATCAAGCCACCTCTGAAATCTGTTGGCATGCAGTATGTTCAAATGCATTTAGAAGAGACAGTAATATAATAATAATAATGGCCAGTCTTCACGAGTGAAGATCCGGGGAAGGTCTTTCCACCTTCCAGCCTGCGCATTGGATTTTTTAGGTGAGACACAGTGTGCGCGGAACTGAGCCCACCCTTTAATCCTAAGGTTCATCTGCCGGGGCCAAGCGAGCTTGGACGGTGGCAGCGAGGTCCTCAGGACGTAGGTGGGTTGCCTTTAAGGGCTAACGAGCTCCACCTGCCCGGGAGTGGCCCTGACCGGGAATCGAACCCGGGTCTCGGCGGTGACAGCGCCGCGCCTTTACCACTAGACCACCAGGGGCTCCAGAAGAGACAGTAGTGATAAAGGTTAAAGATGTACTTACAAATTAAGAGGAGAATATTTACGGGCTTACCTTCATTACTACAGTTCCTCTAATAACATGATCCAGAGTCCCGTAATCAAATTCATCTTTTGGATCAAAGTAGAAGTTCTCTTTGTCAGGACTAATAGCCTTTAGAAGTTTGATAATATTATTGGAATACAGGGTACTGGCCTGAGTAGCCATCCTGCTGGGCAGATCTGTGTAGCCAATGTGTGTAACACCCTGAAAAAAAATCCAAGTAAAATAATAAGGATTTGTGCAATCTCTGAAAGAGCATCATCTTTTCCAGTATATCCTTCTGGAAATACATATTCCAACTCTTGCACTTATTTATGCTTATAACCCCACCTAAAACTGCTACCTGCAGTTCTGACATTATTAAGTCAGGGGAGGATTACACACAACGTTTACAAAATCCAACATGATTCTGTACACCAACACCTTAAACACTATTAGCAACTGGCTCTTCCTACACAAAGCGGAAGGCACATTAGTGCAAGAGCTTGTCTTCTCCTATAATCCTACCATGCTCTCAGAACTTAACTTCTTTAAGCAATCAACAGATTATCCTGCCTAATGCTTGGTATCTTCTCTGTTTTTCTGGAAGGCAAGCACAGAAGCCAACTTTCTATAGGCCAGTAGAGTGAAGACAGCTTTCTCAGAGCTAGTCAGCTCTGCCAGTAGTATGTCTGGGTTCCTGTGTATGTAAAAGTGTTACATTATATATCCTCACTGTTTAAAGAACAAATGAGAGTGCACCTGGCTCTCAGGCTTTTGGGAGGAAGGGGAAGCTGAGACTGGCATACACTCATAAGTGTTCAGGCAGGCTTGTGTTAGAACACTGCTACCACAACTTACAGTTAAGATCCATGCAAGCTTCCAGAACTCTGCCTTCTTAATGCAGTGCTCTGGCATAATCCTAATACTTCTGCATTGCTGCCATTTTCCATAGTACAGTGCCAGTACACTAAATCCAGGGGTAATTCCCCGACTAAAAGCACCCCATATAAACTCTTCGTGGAAGTATGTGCTTACTTGTCTTCTATGTTCTCTAGTTTCAGGTTATAACCAATGACGTCAAAAGCCCTAGAAAGCCACAAAGTCAAATGCAACACATGAGTCTTTGATATATACACACACACAGCGCCCTGCTTTTGTTCATGACAACCATGGCAGCAACGTCCTAAAGGCTTCATAAATAACGGCACTGTGTCCTTGCAATACCAAACAACAACCTTGGAAATCTGCTACCAGATTTTTATAATTGCTAGTAGATTTCTCATAAGTACCTAAAATAAAACCCAAAAAGCAGAAAAACAAGTTCTCAACCGAACCAGTAAACACCGGAACAAAACCAAAGTAGTTCAGTGCGGAGCCAAACTGCTTCCTTTCATGAATCAATTTATAGTACACCTAGTTTGGGTTACAAGTACTTTGGATAGTCTACAGGAGACACACGTTCTTGAAGCTAAAGACATACAAAGCCAGCACCCTTCTGAAGCTGAAACTGTACTGAACTAAGCCACAGACTTCATACTGAAGTAAACACCAACATAATCTAAACCTGCTTGGCTTACCTATGGCAGGGATTGTCAGCCTTCAGTCGTAGGAGATGATAAGCAAGTCAAAGAACCTATTCCTACTATTGTCTCTTTTAGGTCAAACCACACCTTCAACTCAGCAGAGGCAAACTACTGGACTTGGAAATCTAAGTACCAAGAATTCCATAACATCCATTAACAAGCAAATTAACACAATACAAAGATATTTGTTTCTTTTAAATATTCAAATTCATATACATGTTACAGTGACCAAATGCAAATATACAGAATTTCTTCAGCCCAAAACAGCAAAATCAGCTACTCCTTTTCAGAATACAGTTTACAAAACACAATGTGAGTTCAGGTAAACTGAAAATGACCTGCGGATTAAAATGCTTACCTTATGAACATACATTTCTCCAGGCTTTGTAGTCTCAATATTTCCCCCCGCTTCTGCAGCTAAATCCACAACAACTGAACCCTCTTTCATTGATTCAATCATGTCTTTCTTAAACAAGATAGGAGCTTTTTTACCTGACAAGATAAAACATAGCAAGTTAAAAACAAAATACAGCTTGTATCTCTTGAGCTCAGGAGATTACTTCTCCCTTCTCCCTATATCATTTTTGTAATCAAAATTTTCAAGTAATTGGTAGCTAGGATAAAATATCACAGAAAGTTTGTTAAGACAGAGAGAAGAGATGCTAGAATATCCTGCTCCAAAGTGTATAAAAAAGTTATGCACGGGCAGTCTACCAAAGCTGCTAGCAAGTCCAACTTTGATAACATCTAATCTTACAATTCAAGTCTTAATCAAAAAAATGCCTCATCAGAAGTTATTGAAATAGGGATACTGCGCAATGCAAAGCACTGAATTCTGAGCTCTACCTTACTACATTTCAATTGCAAAGACAGCATCATTTCAATCAGACTTGTTTTAGTGCAGAAACTGTAGAGCAGAAGCAGCAGTGATACAGAAGGTATGCAAGAGAATTATATATTCTTACTTTATTATGATCTACTCCTTGTTTAACAAGAAAAACATGATGGTATTGAGTCAAACACTGAAACTATACAAAACCAAAAGTTTTTAAAAGAGGCACACACTTTAAAACTGGGTATTTATCACAGAAGGGTGGAAGTTAATGCTCACATAGATAAAATTCACTAACCCTGCACTGCAGGTGCAGTTCCAAAATATGCCAACTTACTGACTTGGATAAATAAAAATTAGCATTTTACACATAAAACATACCTGGAATAAGTGCTGTAGTGATGATAATATCAACATCTTGGCATTGTTTGGCAAAAAGTTTCATTTCAGCTTCAATAAATTCTTTTGACATCTCTTTAGCATAACCACCTTGTCCCTCTCCAGATTCCTTTAAGTCTACTTCCAAAGGCTCAGCACCAAGAGACTTGAACTGTTCCAAAGCTGCAGCTCTAGAAAAAGAAAATTGTAGAAGAGGAAGCCACTACTTTAAAAATACACCATGACTTCACCAGTGTTTTTAGTAGTAGTCTTCAGAGAAGATATATAACTTATTCCAGGATTGAGGAGACTACAACTGAAGTCCTCAACTTTCTGTATTTAGTGAAAAAAGTAATTTGCATCACTAATTTTAGGTTCCAGACAGACTTGGACAAGAAATGAAGGCAGCCTACGTTTCCTGTACAGTCAGCAGAGTTGCTCCAAGAAAAGCCTCAAAGCGGAGCGTTTAACTGATGAGTACCTCTGCACACGCATTTCTCTTGCCATGACCAGGTAAATCCACAGCCCAAACTTAGGTGTCTAAGATGGGTAATAAATATACAACCTGTGGTGCTGTCTTTAAACTGTGAAATGGGAAATAAGTCTAGTAAGTCTTATTTTCACAGGGAAAATTGCTGGGGTGGACGTGTTTCAAGCTGGATTCTTTAAGTTATTCTGTAATTTATTTTGCATCCCATGACATCACAGTAAATACTCAGAATAAATATCAGTGTTAGGTAACACACAGAGAACTTGACAGAAACATTCTTGCATCTCAATATAAAAGTATATAGGGTTCTCAAGTAGGGAATTTAAAAGATCTGAAAAGTTTTAGAGTGATTTTGGTCATGTTTTTATGAAAAATAACCTCTTTCCAGTTTCTTTCAAGGTATATGCAGATTTTCTGAGAAACTAGAGTGTTTTTTTCATATTGCACATAATAAATCTTAATTTTCATTCTTTCAAATTAGATACAGCTAAGTAGCATTAGATGCCATTCCTACATAAAGCATAAGTACATAATTTTAATGCAAATACTGTATTAAGCATGTAAAAATTTGATACAAGAAGGCTGTTTAATAGAAAAGAACTAATGAAGCTGTAGCTATAAGAAAAACATTTTTGCTCTCTAATTTTCCTTGTCTATTGCTCTACAAAATGGCAGTACAATTTCAGTGCAATACAGCCACAAACAACTTAAAACTAATTTCAGATTGTTATTACTATTTTCACACACCTACCTAGTATCAAATCCACGAACCACTGCACCCATAGATTTTGCTGCTCCTGCAGAAGCTAGGCCAGCAACTCCTCCTCCAATGATCAAAACCTAGAATGATAAATCTCATTAAGCAGCCATTTAAACAAGGTACCTTAGGACACAGAAAACAAAATTACTTTGGCAAAGCTGTCCCATAAACTAACAGTTTAAAAGCTGTAACTCCTAATTTCACATATCTAAGAGCCAACTCATCTGTGGTTAACAGTTTATATAAGTAAGTAGCGGTATTCTCCTTGATTTATCTTCCTTTTTTTATTCCCTTCTCTAATTCTACTTGCATTTCTCTTCAACCCAGTATCAGGTAAACCTTTCCACTGCACCTTTCAACGCCCCAGAAATCCCAATATCTCTGACTTTTCTTAACTGTTTTCTTTCCTTTCCCCATTTTGAAAAAAGATAAATCCACCTACTAGCTAATCTGATGTTTAAAACTAAGCAAACATAAAATAAAACTCAAACTGTTCTATTATTCCCAAAACAAGTTAACTACGATTAAGATGCAAACAAAAACTGGTGTGAGATTAACTATAGCAGTTTCTAAAGCCTCTGGAACTAACTTCAAAGTAGAAAAAAAATAACAGTTTCAGCAATGGTTACCTAAGCTCAGGAACTCATATTCTTTTGCCATGTGTTTAATTGCACATACCTTTGCTGGAGGAACTTTACCAGCAGCTGTGATTTGACCCGTGAAAAATCGACCAAAGTGATTTGCTGCCAGTACCACAGCCTTGTAACTGTCAATTAAGGACGAACACATATCAGTATTTTCCCAAGGTTCGGTAAAATTCCATTCATGACATCAATCAAAAGGATAAACATTTGACCATAGCATGTGTAGGATAAAGCAACCTTAAAATTTTATTACTGAGCACAAGTTTAATAGTTTTTGTTCATATTTCTTGCCTTTTTTTTTTTTCTTTTAATGCATTTTCAGACATAATTTTTGGATGGTAGTATACTGGATGTCTGCAATTATTCACTCTTTCAAATAAAATTTTACTCGAAAAATGCATGCCTAACTTGCCAAAAGTTAACTCTGTGGTCTTTGTAACTACCTTAAAAGGCTGTAACCTGAGGCCTGTTACAGAGGGAAACACAAACAAGTAATTGCGAAACCCTGAGTAGTTCTGCAGTAAGCTCACTTAGAGTAAGCACACATTCAGAAAAGATACTCTAACCTTAACTTTTGCAGAGCTGTATGACTTAGGACAAATAGCTTAACCTTGTTATTCCATTTGCCATATCCAAGAATAGGTGGTTAGACACCAAGTTAACACCAGAACAGCTATCTGAAAATTAACATTAATATGGAAATGTCTTTTCTTAATAAAAGTGCACATTTTCTTGCACTTTTACAAGAGTTTTGTGGTTCAACAGCCCTGTTCCACCTTTTTTCCTGCCTATAGAATAGGCATATGGAGGTCTGTATGCCACAAAATTAGTTCACCTATGGAATACAGCCTGCAGATTTTATACCTTTAAATGCATTATGAATGTCTATATTTTATAAAAATAAAACGAAATTAAAACTGAGAGAAGTAACTAAACATGTATGTGGATGTACACTGCTTGTGTGCACAAAATCTGGAAGCCTTCTCAAAGGCTTATTATGCCTCACAGACATCATCTAAGTCAAAAAAAAAAGAACCAAATAACCAGTTTGACAACATTTTAAATCACTCCAGTACCTAAATGCTAGTTGTAAAGCATGAAGATATGGGACATCGGAAGATATGGGCATATCTTTTGTTTGTATCATCTGCCATGGCAACTGCACTCATACTGAGTGTTTGGGTTAGTTAGCTCCTCTCAACATCAGATCCTACCAACAGAGGATCCTACCAACCTATGTTCAGGATGACTTAACGATATCTTAATTGCTGTGATTCAGCTCAGATCAAAAAGGCACTAGACAAAAAAGTAGGGGAATTAGAATTGCCTTCAGTTTGTTTATTTTTTTTTTAACCCTGGTTCTGATTTGCTGCCAAGCTGACCATAAGAAACTTTTGTAGTTTGGCACCTCCGACAGTACCATCCTCCTTGAAACTGCTGCATGAAAATAGAGATGCAGAATTGTTTTAGATATACCGAATATCAAAGCACATGATTTTTAATCCAGCTATACTTAGTGAAGCTGAAAAAGAAAAAAAACCATACCCAGCAATGTTGGCCATGGAGCTAAGTGCATCATATCCCTGAGCAATGGTGACCCGTGGAACCTGATCCATAGCCAAGACAGTAGCTTTTTTTTCTGCTAGTTTTTTCAGGAGGTCTGGATTTTGTGCTGGGTAGATAAAACTAATCAGGGTCGCCGCCGTCTTAAAAAGATCTGCCTCATGTACACCTAGAGCCGAGTTGTATACAGGAGCCCTCACCTGAAGAAAGAAGTTTCCAAGTCAGTCAGAGGAAAGAAACCAGAACACACCCCACTGCCTTTCTCCCAGCCTGCAGTCTGTCCATTCCCGTCCATGAAGTACAGAAGGAAGCAAGTATATCAAAGGCTGTTTATACAACTGAACTGAGTAACTGCCCTTCTTAATTGCAGGGTACATACTGGAATTAGTTCTAGGTGGATTGGTGACAGGGCAGTAATTGTCACCTCAGAAAGATCTGATGGCTTTTAACCAGCAGCCACTGCCTTTTCTAACAGACAGCTAACCTCAAAGCCACCATTTTTTAGCAAAATGGTGACTCAATAGATATGACAATTAAGCTCTACAAGCTAAGAATCACTAATCAGGTGGCAATGCATGACTATATACAGGGAATTTCAAGCCAGATGTCCAGCAGATAGTCATCTCCACCTACGTTCACTTAAGTTTCTCATTTTTCTTCAAAGAGAAACCTCCTTAAAAGGGTTGTTCACAAAGCAGCTCACAGAAATTCTACTTTTAGTCCTGATGTGTAACTTCAAACAGAGCAACTACGGGAAGCCTCAACATTAAATTTAAGGTCTTTTTGGTTTTTTCCTTCAGGACTCTGCACAACCTAAAACCTCTCAAATAACTTCACTTTTAGCAGTTTTCCCAAATTAGCTGTAACTCACCTAGTGACAAATACTTTGATACACACTGAGTTGTGGAACTGAAGAAGTTAGAAACCTGTATCTTCAGAATTCCAAGCAACTATCTAAAGAGTAACTTATGTGTTACTAAATTTGGAGGAAAGATGTCTTAGAGCAGGGATTTTACCTGATTTGAGTCTGCTTTAGAGTACTTCATTCTAGAAAACACAAGTACGAAGTAGCTAAAAATCTGCTAAGAAATTATCCCAAATTTCTTCAACACTATCATTGACTAGTTTTTTTAATGCAGGTGCAACACCTGAGCTATTTAAAAAAAAAAAAAAACAACACCAAAACTGAATCAGAACTCAGAACAGAAAATATCAAAGGACCTTACTTACTCAACTCTCAGCAGACTATTACAAAGAAATGACCTATAGGTTTCTCCTAAAAGAATGTAATAGGAAATGCATTAATAAAGCAATTACTTTCACAATCAAATCCGAAGCCAGGACTTCCTTGGTCCCCTGGATCTTTGCTCCAACTTCTCTGTAATGGTCATCAGAAAATTTGGAAGCTTCTCCAGCACCAGATTCCACCACAACACTGAAGCCTTGTTTAACCAAGGCTTGAACTCCAGCTGGTGACAGAGCCACTCTCTTCTCATTCTCAAATATCTCCTTGGGGACACCAACAGTCAGCTGTTTATACGGAATTCCTGTAAGAGTGACAGATAAGACAAAATTAGTTGTACTAAAGACTAAGTAACTGATATTAAAGGCACTCTTCAATGTTGTACAGACACATGCAGACATGTCACAGTTAGCAATTCTCCCTCCTAAAGAAAGAGGAAGCAGAATGCTATTTTCTAGGAACGCAGTTCACATTTCCTTAAATTGCATCATCTTCCTAGAGATACTTGTTCTCTCAGCAAACCAGCAGGTCAGCACAATCAGCCACACAAGCAGCAACAAGTGTTTGATGCAGTTCATAATCATCAGAGTTTACACAGTTCTCATTGTATAACTGGTATTCGGATTTACACAATACCTGGTGTTCTGGTGATAACACATTCTGCCTCAGGAGAGGATTTAAATCCCTCTCTAGCCACTTCCACTTTATTGTGAAGAAATAAACAAATGAGATTGAACAGTGGAACTACATCTTAACTGAACGTGGGTTTAGTGTCTATCAAATTACAGTTGTCTTAAATGACTATTAATGAATGTAACATACGTACCACAAAGTACATTGACAGGCACAACTACATCAATGAGGTACTCTAAAAGTTGCCACAGAAATGAAAAATGTGAATTCAGAAGTAGTTGAAGAATAATGGAATATCCATCTACTATCTTCTTCAACAGTACTTCTCTTCAATATTATCTCCTTGTCTTAATTTGTTCAAAGTTCCACTAAGTAACACCAGGAAAACTGCTGAAGCCAAAATTTATCAATTTTAGCTGATGTTTTCAAATGACAAACATCTAACTTTGTTTATGTACAATTTGTGGGCTTCCAATCTAATGCCTAGGAGTTAAATTTCTCTGATCCAAACAAGTATTTAAATGTATTATTTATAAATGCACAGGCTCAAGCAGAGTGCCCATATATCAAACTACTGCACTGCTTCAATTATACCGACAGCATGCAGCGCAATACAGGCCCAATCCTGTGCCAGCTTTCACTGACATCTATCCAAAATTTAAACCTGGATTGTGACATGACTATGCAAGACATTTATACCACATATGTATTAATGAAATATAACTTGAGCTGTCTAAGCAGTCACTCATATTAATGATCAAGCAACAACAACAACAATAAAACCTACCAAAAAAACCTCAAACCAAAAAAAAGGGAGAAGGTGGATGAAAGGCTTGTTTTAAATTACAAATCTGCTTTTAAATTGTCCATGTATGCATTGTGCTATGAAAATTTGTACCAGACAAGTAGTATTTCAGGAAAGCCTCCTTTTTACTTTCAGACAGAAACAAGAAAAACAAAGCTAAAAACATACTACAAAACAAGAACTTTGAGGAACTAGGTTTAGATTTAAAAATATTAAAATAATTTATCCATTATATAAAACTTGGACTATATAGTGCTTAAAGTTGAAAATATGAAAATATTTTGATTAAAACTTTCAAGATACAATTAGCTTATAATGTTCTGAAAATACAGTACAGAATTGCTAAGAACTGGTACTTGAGTACCTACCTACACTTCTCAGTCTATTAACTCATTAAAAAAAAAAAATTGAACACATCAACAAGAAGACGAAATGCAAAATCACCAGACAAAGAAGGGAATTCTTTCTAATTACTGTGCCAAGTGTGGTTTTGTTAAGCCAGGGGAGGTGCAGGTTGGACATCAGGAAGAATTTCTTCACTGAAAGGTTGGTTAAGTGTTGGAATGGGTTGCCCAGGGATATGGTTGGGTCACCATCCCTGGAAGTGTTCAAGCAATGACAGGATGTGGCACTCAGTGCTATCGTTTAGCTAACAAGGTGGTGTTTGTTCAAAGGTTGGACTCAATCTTGGAGGTCTTTACCAACCTTAATGACTCTATGATTCTAGTTACTTTTACTTTTTTTTTAATTTTAGCTTTGTCTTTTAAATTTAACTAAAAAAATAGTAACAAATAGCTTGAAGACAGAAGTGTTTTGATATTTTATATGCTGGAGAACATTTAAAACATTTCAATTACAAGACAAAAATTAAATTAAGAAAAACATACATTAAAAGAACATAAAGTCACAACAGGAGCGAGAATGCACATCTAAAACAACAGACCCACAAAAGTAACAGTGCTTTGCAATTATTTGCTTCATCAGCAGACACCACATCTAAACATAACCGTGCAACTCAGGCCATACCTACCACAGCAGCACTAACCACTTGTCAGCTATGGAAACTGCTGCTGTCACTCAAATTACCCTTTGTCATTTGAAGGCACCTTTCTCCTCATCTCTTCTAATTACTACACAATAAAGTCCTGCTTCTGATTTTCACTAAACCATCTCGGTGGAAATGAACTCTCTTGTCTTTCAGAAGCAGGAATGAAACCTAGAAGATTGAAATTTATTAGGATAGCATAGACCAATTGTAATTTCAGAAAGGAAGTAGCTGTAGGGTAGCATAAAAGGCAAAAAAGCTTTTCAAGAAGCACTGAGAAATATTAAGAACTAGAGTTCTATCTTCCCTTTCTCCTTTCGGAAGTTTCTGTAGGACAGAAGTGCTGAGAGGGAGAAGGGGGGGCTGAAGGGGGAAAGGGAAGAGGGGAGGAGGTAGGGAAGACAGGAAAAAGTTAGGGCTGGGCAGAAGGGGGAGGATGGGAGAGAAGGAATAAATTATAGCACACAGGGAATAGAAAGATGACTGCAAATTTAAACACAGACACGACTAAAGCTTTTATTTTTCCCAAGCAAAAAAATTAATCTTAAAAAGGCTCAAATGACAATAGATACTTCTGATTTCTTTTTATTCACTTGTTTTTGTGTGGAGTACCAGAACAGAAGAGTAAATGGCTAGGAGGCACGGGACAGGAATATGCACTCACTAGACGTCAAACGTGTTTCCTCATTTCTCACTTCTTTCTTTCACATTGTTACATCTTGCACGAAATAAAAATAGGTACAACTTTTTCAGATAGAAAGTATTAGCACCTTATTTTGCAAGCAGAATAATCAGAGACCAATAGTGAGAACTATTCCCTCCTCCAATGCTTTGGGAAGATCAAACATACAAGTCTCATATGCCTCTCCCCTTCTTTTCTCCTCTGTCCCACTACCAAACTCAAAGCAAACAATTAATACAGAAGAAAATGAATACATAAGCAAACAGATGTCAGTTTGCCAGCCTCCTAGAGCAGGCATAGGACATTTTTCAAATAGATTACCCTGAGCTTTCACATCATTCATCACCAAAATGAAGCAGATGTTTACAAGTAAAAAAGATCTATGATAAAACTTCAGACAAGGTTTTGGGAGAAAAGGGTTAAAAAGCCAAAGACTGGTAAGGGGACTGTAAATTGCTCAAGTGACCTTGCAGCTGGAAATAACTCTTGGTAAGGCCTGTGTGAACAGAAGGCTGGTGATGATTTACTGGCACCTGTGCCTCCACTTGTGCTTCTCTGCCACAAGTTTGTGGTTGTCCCAGCTGCCTGTCTGTGCTGACACATACAACAGGGTATGACGAATAACATGTTTGGGAGAAGCTATACAATGAACAGAGATTTGGTTTGTTGTGCTCAGCAATTTCATTAAAGTCACTAGTTTTGAAAGGCTGAAATCTAGGTTCATAAACTTAGGATCTTGATTTAAGTTTTTATTTGGAGGAAGCACATCTGCTATCCTTGCCATGTGTTCAAAATTGCATGAGACTGTGAAGCTTCCAAGTTGCCTTTCTAATCCTTCATGTCAGATAAACTCTCTATGAACTGCTTTGAGTATGTTTTAGTGTCTTACTGCTTCATGGCATCAAGAACATTCTCCAAATACTGATTGATACACACATACCTGGAGCACTTCTTTGAGTCACATTAAGATTTTTAAGAAATTGTTCATGGGCATAGGAGATACACAGTACTTTTTTGATACAAAAAAATCAAAACCAATATAATTATGCTACTATCAGAAGTAGAATCATTCACAGGCCTTAGAAAGGAATATGCACTTCAATGAAATGCTTAGTATGCTTTATACATAGACTAGAATTTAGAAAAACTACTAAGAATTCACTATATCTCATCTCCTTACCATAATCTTGACTGTGTACTGAGGACAAATATGTCCTTACTTCAGGTAAACAAAACTATGAAAGTGATCTTCACCACGTAACTTCCATCTACAAGAATCCTAAAGATGATTCTAAGCTAAAACTATAGTGAAAAAATACAGGTTTTTAACCTCCTTAACACAATTTTGGGAAGTAGCCTGCAGCAAAATAGTATCAACAAATACTAGAGGCTGACTTAGAGAAAAGGAGAAGTTTTGACTATATGCCACATGTTCTGGGATGGAAGAAGAGGATATGTAACCCACCTATTGTTTATGTTTCTCTAATAACCTTTAAACAAACCATCTCACCTGTTCTGAAGATGAGGACATATTCCGAAGAACACCAATATGATGTTGGCAAAAGGAGAAAAAAAATGATACAAAAGATTAAACAAACACCTGGTCCCTCCTCTTACGGAAGCAAGGAATTACAAATTGCCTCTGTTTCTGAAGCATCTGGTACTAGTGACTGAGACAGGTTACACGAATAGGTGTTTACTCCCGTATCAAAATTCCTATGTTTCTAATAAACAAGTAGCAGCAAAATAAACAGCAGTAAGAAAGTTATCCATCCTCCAAGTTTACTTTTCAGATGACTCCATATCACCCCTCAAGCAGCTGTTACTCTTGTACATAACACAGTCTGGATGGAATGAAACCTAATCTGAGAGAAGGAAAACAATAACTACAGGCTTTAGAAGAATTACTGAGACACTAACCTTCTCAGAAAACTTAAGAGTTACAGTGATTTTACCAAGTGTTACTGCAATCAAAGATAATATCTGAAAGAATAAAACGTAGTTATTTTGTATGCTATTACATTTTGATTCTAGAGCACTTAAAATGTAAATATAAGCTGTAGTACTGCTACCACTATGTCATTCAATTACTGTTTAATCCTTGATTTGTCCTCTACTGAATAACAAATCACATGTTACCAAAATGAACTATGAGGACAGCTCAATTATCAACCAAAAAACTACCAAACTTGTAATTCTCCATATTAAACAACTGCATTTCATGAATACTACTAATCCTTAAATAAGGGCTTCCACACAACAGATATGAAGGGGCAGCCCTGAAAGTTAAACACATGACACTAATCAGAATTCTCCATCCTTCTAGAAAAATTTTTCAATCGTGATTCTTAAAAACAAGAAAATGCATACCCAGAGTAGCACACCAATTTCAGTAAAACTGAAGAGATTCTTCAGTTTCATGATCAAATTTGTGGTCAAAATCAAATAAAAAGATCGATTCCAAACTCAAACGACGACAAGGACACTTACCTGGGACATTTGAGAAAGAACTTTGAACCCAGTTTCCTAAGTGTCAGTTTACACTCCCAACCAAGGGACAATTTGCCATGCCAAAACTGACAGATGTCTCATTCAGACATTTAATATAGAAAAAAAAAAAAATCAGAGCATCACAAATCTATCAGATCAAATAAATTCAGATTTCACCGTGCCACTACGGTAAAAGGCCACATGACACAGATTATCAGGAGCCCTCAGAGTAAAGAAACTTCCTCTCCTGACATTTCTTCGGAATTTCCAAAGTCTTCAGTCACCAAGTTGAAAGGACCACAGAATGCACCACTTAATGTCAGTATTGCCAGAAGTTCTATGCATCACAGGCTTCTCAGTTATACATGCTAATTTTGTGTCCCATGTTTTCACAGCCAGACACTTCTGCTCCTAAACAGCACTACTTTCCTAATTCTCTGAAGTATCTAATGCAGTTACCTACTGTCTACATTTGAAAAACCAAGCATCATGTATGCAATTAGTCCAACTCTTCACATTAATCAGTTGCAGGCTAAGACCCTGTATCTGCACTGAAACAGGGTCTCTAAATTCCAAGGGAAGCATGACCCATGCAGGACTAATGGGCAAAAACAGCATTAAACCTGCATTATGTATTCTCCAGTCCTCCAAATGTAAGGCTACGTACAGCATAGAACAGAGGAAAAAATGGTAGTTCTGATGCTCGTACACCAGGCTCCTATGAGAAACTGAAAACAAGGATGGCCCCTTTCACGCTTCTTTTTCCATTGAAAATACCTGAACTGGTCCATTATCTGCTAAAATGGAAGTAGTGTAAATATACTCATAAATCCTACACACTATGATGCAGATCAAAAGTTTTTCAGAGTGGTACAATGTAAGAGTTTCCTGAACAAACTTAACAGATTTTTTTGGATGGGCTGATTATATCTACATATAGTCCTGCTTGCAAGATGTTCTCTTTGCGAGGTCTGTATTTTTTCTCACGTGCACACAAAAAGCTGCACCAGCAAAACTCCTAGGGAACTCAGGGCTTTTAACTAAGAGAAGCATTTGTTTAAATACTTCTCTCAAGCAAGGTAAGTATTAACAGGAGCTTGGACCTCCTAGCAATAAAAACTACATGGATCCAAAGTACTTTTAATAAACACAAACACGTTCTATGTAAGCCCTATAAAGCCAGTCTAAAAATGTGCTGCAACTGATTCAAGTATGCTGCTGACATGATTTCTATTTTAAGTCTTTTCTGTACTAATGCAGATCTGAAAGAAAAAAAAAAAGAAGAAACAATTTATATTCATGTTTTAAAATAAAAGATTATTTACAATAGTTTAATCAGTTTACCTGGCTTTGGAGCTGCCTGAGACCTGAGCACCTGCTGGGTTCTAAACGTGCGCAGACACATCTTCACAGAACACACCTTTGGTGGTAACACATTGCCAAAAACAGGAGCTGAGCACCCATTGACAGCAACGCGCAGGAGGCTCGCCATTGCTCCCAGACCTCACAGCAAATTCCTTGCCACGTATGGAATCCCTGTGGCACACGCAAAAACAAGGCGAAAGCTATTAATGGCCCTGGACAGAAGGTATGTAAACGCAGCGGCTTTAAGGCCAGCTGACTGCCAGTAGCCGCGACACAATCATTTCTTCCCACCTTTATCTTTCTGGCTAGAAAACAAAATCAACTTTTTGTAAGATATCTGTCAGATCAAGGTAACTGGCCTGGAGATCGCATTTCTGTGACTCCAGGCTGTTTCGTCTTTACACCGTTACCCCAAAAGAGGAACTGTGACACGTGAAAACCTGCCGCGCCCCAAGGAACCAAACAAACGCCTCCAATCCCTGTCAGAGCTCCCGCAGGGAGTCGCGGCGGGCGGGACAGCACGGCACGCACTCCGGGAGGACACGCAGGGCAGGGGGGCCGGGAAAGGGCTTCTCGCCCGGAGCCTCGCCGAGCGCCCGCGGAGCGGCCCCTTTCCAGCTATTTATAGTCCGAGTGACCTTCGGCGGGCGGCTCGTCCCCTGCCGTGCACCGTGTCCTTGTCCGCGGCAACGCCCGCAGCCGCCACATCCCGCTTCTCGTCCGGCAGCGCTCCCGGGGGCCCCTTCCCGCGCCACCTGCCTTCTCCACGCGTCCTCCCTCCCTTCCTCCCTCCCTTCCCCCGAGAATGGGACACCGTAGCCTTCCCCTCATCAGCGGCCGCCCCTCGTCCGCGACCAGAAAACGCGACGGTGCCGCGGCGGCCCCACACGACGCCGCGCACCGGTCCCGCCCGCGGCCCCGCACACGCACCGCCCGCGGCCCCGCACACGCACCGCCCGCGGCCCCGCACAACAGCGCTCACCAGCCCCGCGGAGCCGCCGAGCGGCTCTGACCGACCTTGGGGCGGGACGGGGGCGGATCCGAGCCCGCCAACCCGGAAGGACTGAGGGGGGTAAGGGGGTCGGAGCGGCCGCGTCACGCGGCGTGTGAGGGGTGGTGGCGTGGGGCTCCCGCGGTGCTGGGCGAGCCCGCGGCGGGATAGCGGGATAGTGGGATAACCGTGTCCAGCCCACGGTGCCTGACAGGTGCCGGAAGGGGAAGGTCGAGGCTGGCGAAGAGACGCGTGCTGGACGTGGGACTAACGCCACAGCACGTAGGTGGTGTTGCCTTCGTTATTGTTACTTCTGAAAAATGCGTGATGAAGCAGCGAGATGTTGGACTTGAGGTGGTAGATGCGGTAAGGGGGGGTGAGAGGAAATGAGGAGCTGTGGCAGCTTTGGAGGAATTTCTTCACAGAAAGGGGGGTTAGACACTGGAATGGGCTGCCCAGTGAGGTGGTGGAGTCGCCGTCCCTGGAAGTGTTTAAGGAAAGACTGGACCTGGCACTCATGCCATGCTCTCGTTGACATGGTGATGTTCTGTTCGATCATAGGTTGGACTCGATGATACCAGAGGTCTTTTCCGACCTGTAAATTGACTCTGTGATTCTGTAGCTCTGCAAATAATGCATGGCTGGATGAAGAGAGCATGTGGTTGGAGAGGCAGTTCAGAGGGCAACTACTCAGGCTGCCCATTGCCTAAATATGGAGTCTAACTTCACACGATTCTGCATATGTTATCTTCATACAATCTGTGGTTTCCATGCGTAAATTAGGCATGTTTTTTCTTTTTTTTTTTAATTTACTGTAAATCTGTGTCACTGCTCACGCAAAACACACATTGTTGGAGATGTCACACAGCTGCGAGGCTCCTAACTGGTGAGCTGGGACTAGAAGTGAAGATAAGCACTGAAAACATGAGTCTCTGAGGGATATTTTAGGATACTCTACTACTACAAGACTCTGTTCACTATGGTGATTTAAATAAGTTTGTATGAAAGATTCCACTTAGAGCTACGGGTTATACCTGTGCTTTATGTTTTGGGCTCAATAACTGTTGGGCCCATAGTCCAATAACATACCTCATCAGTATGATAGGGATCAGCATAATTCAGCTATTAATTCCATTTTAAAAGCTAGAATTGGCCCTCTCCTTTTTTTTCTTTTTTTTTTTTTCCTAATTATTATATCTTATCAGCATAAAAAAAACCAAACACAAGCATGTAAAAATGCCTGGGTTCTGAATAATGACAAGGTTACAGTGTATGGTTTCTCAACACCAGGCATCAAAGCTGTTTGCAGTATTGGTTCTGAACTGCTTCAGACTATTAGGTAAGACACTTAGGACAAAGTGGGTAACTTCTAGTAGATACTTAGAAGCGCTCCTAACTGCTTTTGGAGAAAAGTTTAATTCGGCTGTTGAGTGCTTAGGATACTTACTAGCTTAGCGATCTCAGTGTTCTACTGTTTGTCTCAGAGGCTTGAAGTAATT